AATCCCCAACTAAATCATCCCAGCCAGGGCTTTGTCAAGCCTGACCTTAAAAATATCTAAGGAAGGAGATTCCACCACCTCCCTAGGTAACACCTCCAATGTTTCACCACCCTCCCAGTGAAAAAGTTTTTGCTAATATCCAACCTAAACCTCCCCCACTGCAACTTGAGACCATTACTCCTTGTTCTGTCATCTGCTACCACTGAGAACAGTCTAGATCCATCCTCTTTGGAACCCCCTTTTAGATAGTTGAAAGCAGCTATCAAATCCCCCCTCATTCTTCTCTTCCGCAAACTAAACAATCCCAGTTCCCTCAGCCTCTCCTCATAAGTCATGTGTTCCAGTCCCCTAATCATTTTTGTTGCCCTCCACTAGACTCCCTTCAATTTTTCCACATCCTTCTTGTAGTGTGGGGCCCATAACTGGACACAGTACTCCAGATGAGGCCTCACCAATGTCGAATAGAGGGGAACGATCACGTCCCTCGATCTGCTGGCAATGCCCCTACCTATACATCCCAAAATGCCATTGGCCTTCTTGGCAACAAAGGCACACTGTTGACTCATATCCAGCTTCTCGTCCACTGTAACCCCAAGGTCCTTTTCTGCAGAACTGCTGCCGAGCCATTCGGTCCCTCGTCTGTAGCAGTGCATGGGATTCTTCCGTCCTAAGTGCAGGACTCTGCACTTGTCCTTGTTGAACCTCATCAGATTTCTTTTGGCCCAATCCTCCAATTTGTCTAGGTCCCTCTGTATCCTATCCCTACCCTCCAGCGTATCTACCTCTCCTCCCAGTTTAGTGTCATCTGCAAACTTGCTGAGGGTGCAATCACACCGTCCTCTAGATCATTGAAGATATTGAACAAAACCAGCCCCAGGACCGACCCTTGGGGCACTCCACTTGATACCTGCTGCCAACTAGACATGGAGCTATTGATCACTACCCGTTGAGCCCGACAATCTAGCCAACTTTCTATCCACCTTATAGTCCATTCATCCAGCCCATACTTCTTTAACTTGCTGGAAAGAATACTACGGGAGACCGTGTCAAAAGCTTTGCTCACTCAGGGACATGACTACATCTTTAGAAGAGTAGTTAAGTGCTGGATTAGGCTTCCAAGGGAGGTTGTGGAATCCCATCACTGGAGGTTTAAGAACAGGTTGGACAAATACCTGTCCCGGCTGTTCTAGGTTTACTTGGTCATGCCTCAGCACAGGGGACTGGACTTGATGACTTCTCCAGGTCTCTTCCAGCCTTACATTTCTAGGATTGTATCTCATGCCATCTTATGCACTATTACTACTGACATGTCATAAAATGTAAAAATGAAAAATGAAAAAAAAAATCAAAACAAAATATTTTGTTTTGAAACAAAATTTAAAAATTTTCCTCATAAATGAAGTTTTCAAAATGGTTTTTTTTTTGTTTTTTTTTTTGAATTTCCATTTGGCAGCAAATTTAAAAAACTTGCTTTGCTGTAATCTGGAATGGAAACAAATTTCAAAAACGTCAACTGTCCGCAAAACAGAAATGCCAAGTTCTGACCCGCTCTAGTTAGGAAGGGTTTCAGTGCATCCTTTGAAGCAGCAACATTGATGCAGAACACATACCAATGGCTGGAAAAGAGAAATGTCAAAACAAAATAACCCCAACTGATACACGTGTTATGAGAGAGCTGAAACATGGATTCCAGGAGCATCTGAGGCGGCCCTTTTATAGATTCAGAGATTGCAATGCCAGAAGGGACCATTGCAATCATCTTGTCTGACAACCTGTATAACAGGCCATAAAACTTCCCCAAAATAATTCCTAAAGCAGATCTTTTAGATAAAATCAAGGTTGGATGTTTAAAATTGGCAGTGAGAGAATCCACCACGACCCTTGGGCAATTGTTCCCAGTCTGAATTTGTCTAGCTTCCAACTTCCAGCCATTGGACCATGCTGTACCTTTCTCTGCTAGATGAAGAGCCCATTATTAAATATTTGTTCCCCATGTAATCAAGTCCCCTCTCACCCTTCTCTTTGTTTTCGTCTACTCATCTCTTAAAAGGAGTGTGAGCATGGAACTACAGTCAAATGAAAAGGAAAGTACGAAGGGCACTGGAGAGAGAGCATGGAAGCTGTATTGAAAACTCCTGGCCCTCTGTGTTCAAAGATCCCAGTGCTGGGAGGCTGCAGGATGATGGGAGAAATGGTGGGCAAGCTTCAAAATGGTGCGGATAAGCACCCAGACCGCTATGCTGGAGACCTGCAAGAACACACCCGTAAGAGTCACTGTTTCAACTCTATCCGAAATACGATGAGATCACTCGTCTCATGGCACTTCCACATCTAGATCAGGTGAAACAAAAAGGTGAAGAGCTGACGAACGTGGTTAGAAGTTGGGGCCATTTATCATCTTGATCGGAGAACTAGTCTGTATGTTCCTAGTAAAGGCCATAACATTTTGATCTTGAGCATCAAGAGGCAATGCATGTAAAGTATGTAGCAACGCATAGCCCCAACAGCATTGCAAGAAAAGAATCCTCCTCTCATCCCTTACTGAGCTGCTGTGTCTTCCGTCAGACAGAAAAACTGAGGCATTAAACATCTCTCTTCCTCCACTATTCCACCCTCCGGGCTTAGGGCTAAATTCCGTCTGGCAGCATTGCAGCAAGAATAAGCAGCCTGTTCATTCCTGTCTTTTCAATGCTGCCAGCAACGATCACAGAACAGGTTTATTGTGTGTATGACGATTTGTGACACGGACTCACAAAGGGAACTCTACCAGCCTTTACACTACAGGATTTAAGATGTTTGCTCATGAATACATCCCGCTAATCACAAGCCCCAAAACAGGAGCTGTACTTCTCCGAAACTACAATAGCAAAAGTGGTGTTCTTTAGGGCTTCAGAGCTGGGAGGGAGCATAACAGATGGTTATCTGGCCAAAGACCCATGTAATCTGGGCCCATCGCTGACTGCAGCTATATGGGCTTGTCTACACTACCCGCTGGATTGGCGGGCAGCGATCGATCCGGGGGGGGGGGGGGGTGTATAGACGCGATAAATCAACTGCTGAGTGCTCTCCCATCGACTCCGGTACTCCATAAGAACGAGGAGCACAAGCGGAGTCAATGGGAGAGCGTCAGCTGTCGACTTAGTGTCGACGTAGTGAAGACACCACGGTAAGTAGATCTAAGTACGTCAACTTCAGCTACGCTATTCAAGGAGCTGAAGTTGTGTATGTTAGATCAACACTATGTGGTAGTGTAGACACGCCCTATGACAAGAACTCCACAGGGCAGGCCAGCGAAGGGCTTTGCAGTCTGTTCAACACACTGGTCCAGGCTACCAGACGACAGAAACCTGCAGAATACATAGTAACTCCTGCAAACAGATTATACCTGACTCAAGATGAGAGGGGAAGGAGTGGGAATTCCAGAGAAAAGAGGAAATAGGATTGAGGCAAATCGAGGAGAAGGAAAGGTGTGAGCACGGGGGGGGACGGATGGACGGGGGGGACAGGGGACGACACAGACTGACAAAAAAGGACAGAGGAACATTCTCCAGCTACCACTGCAATTCAGGTGCATGGGTAAGAAACATCCCAAATCCCCAGGGATATGACAGAGATTTGAAGAGGAGACTAATGAAGGGCATTCAACAGAAGACTCTCCACCCCACATGGTGCTCAGAGCATGGGGACGAAGGAATAGGGAATGAGGCTAAGCTAGCTAAGCAGTATTCACACCTGATCCTCATGGTGCTCACATTGTGAGATGACATGGGATAACAATTTGCTATTCAGCCCTGCAGAATCTACCTCAGTGGTAGATTGAATAGAGAAAGGGCCTAGACAAGTTTCTAGACCCACAGAGTTTCAAGACTTGGGAAGGCTAGTGTGAAAATATCTACTCCATCCCAGCTTTATGATGCTCTGATAGGACATGTTGATCTTTGTCTTTCTGATATTGGTCCAAGGCTGCTGTTTGGAAACATTTTATTGGTCCTTAATTTGGATTTATTGGCCCTTCACAAAGGGTTGTTGGTTATGGCAGGTCACAAGATAGCGGACCTTAAAATCACAGCACAAATTCTCTGCTAGTGACTGCAATGGAATTACACCAGCGGAGACTTTGGCTCTCACATCCTTCTCATGCATCTGGATCAAATAATATGGTTTTATCAGACTACCTTGAGTAAAGCTAGGAGGCAGGTATTGGTGAGCTGAAATCTAAGGGATATTGCTTTCAAGTGATCCAAAGCATTAGTCACTAACTGTAGCAGTTTGTGAGATGTCTCTATAAAACCATGTCAGAACTCAAGTGAGGGGAAAAAGGGTGGTGACAATCAGAAGGATGATTTTAAAAGGTTTATTATCTGTGTGACCTGCAAGGGCTAGACAGGCATGCTGAACCACTAGTGGGATGGTTAAAAAGACCGATTTCCAGTAATACATAGCCACTGGTGGTTTACAGACTCACAGAAATGTAGGATTGGAAGAAACCTCGATAGGTCAACTTGTCCAGTCCCCTGCTTGAAAGCAGGACTAAATATTACCTAGACCATCCCTGTCAGGTGTTTGTCTAACCTAGTCTTAAAAACCTCTGACAGATTCCACAACCTCCCTATTTTGGGCCTTAAAAACTCTCACTGGTCAGTAACTAACAAGTGCTTCTATGGCACTGATCCAGCTATACCAAGTCCTGGACCTTGGATCATTGCAATTTCAATTCTGACCTGTTGGGGGTGCAAGGACAGAGCTCTTGTCCTGCTCTTAGGAGAGAAGGGGCAGACCACATTCCAATTCACCAACCTCAGCTTCTCATGACCGAGTTACTGGTCAGCTTTCACCAACCACTCTGACTTGGGAGATTTCTTCCCCTTCAGCACAGTAGCTTTTATATAGAAATGAAGAGACTTCAACCTCCTAAAAACTGTAATTCTGAAGTGCTCAACAGCCTTTAATTCATTATGAACCTAGAGGCAGAGAAAAAAAATGCAAAAAAATACATCACATTCTTAATCTAAGAGGAAAAAAATCAATAATTTTATAGCACATAATCAGACACTTACAAATATATTTCACTGGGGGGTGGGGAAGAAGTGTGCATTTCCTATTTCCTTTTCCATAGTCTGATGCACAGAAACCTTCAACATGGTCATTATAGATAAACTGCACAAGTCATTCCTGAACCAAAAGAGGGCTTTAAGAACAAACAAAACAGGAAAAACCCAGCAACAAAGAAGGGCATTCTACAGTTCCAGATTCACGTTTAAACATAACTCACCATCTGAATATGGGGTCAGGGAAACACACTTTTTTTGTTTTTTGTTTTTACAATATAAATAGTATTTAAAAAAGGTACTACATATGAATACAGTAATGATGCTACTTCAGTCAGGACTTTTTTTTTTTTTTAACATGCAGAGGAAATCCGCCCACTGCTCCCAACCCATCCCGCCCTACTTCCCTTCCCCCTCCCCACTTCCAAAACAAAAAAAAATCCTCTGCTGTTTAAATTCTCTTTCAATTGTTTTAAATATTTCTCTGTGGCCTGGCAACCATTAAAACATCCATTTTTTCTTTTATACAAGCAAATTATCTTTTAAATCTTGTTCTAGCCAACAGGAGACAGCTACGCAGGAGTAATCGCTATACAGGTGCGGCACAAAGTAAAGGAGAGAGACTTCAGCTAGGTTCTAATTTGTCTTCTATCCAAAATGACACAGAACGAGGCTTTTAAGAACAGTCCTTTTTTCCTTTAAAGAAAAAAAACAAAAAATGTACATTCTTCTTTGATAAATTCAGTCTAATGCTTTTTTGGAGACAGATTCGTTTGGAGAAATTGAAAACTTAAAATAAAGAAGAAAAAAAAACAAGAACAAAACTACCTAAAAGGATTTCACACTGTGTTATAACACACACTTAAAAAAAAAAAAAAAAAATGCAAAAAACACCTCTCAGCAGAGGCAGCAAGAAATGAAGGGAATTCTAATTCCCCCAAGAAAGAACACTTCACTCCATTTCCATTCTCTGACTGGGACAGCTGAATATCCGTCCAGTCTCTTAAGATGCTAATAATTACCATGTTGTCCTGCAAATGCTTCCCACGTTCCCATGAAGATATCTAAACACAGTCACTTAAAAAAAATATATATTGACTGTATTACAAGGGGGCTTAAAAAGAGAGAGTATTGTTCCTCCCCGCTCAGAAATTTCTGGGACTCAAGAGAAAAAGATTGCTGAGGACGCGTTTCCTGGATAGCTTTGTCAACTCACAGGCAAAGACACAAAGGTGGGATTGAATATGTGCTGTATAAGTACCATGTCCCCATCCCCATGCACACACACTGCAGCAGCCTCATCTCCCTGCAGTTCTCCTCCAAGTCTACTTATTTCTCTTCACTTCAAGCCTGATTCAAAGCCCTCTGAAGTCAGTGGGAGTCTCTTTCCACCAACTTTGATGGGCTTTGGATAAGGCCTTTTATGCAACACTGTTCCATAACAGTTCTACAGGAGGAGGTGCTTACACAGAGTTCAGGTGGGAGCCGCCTATTCAGTATTTCAAGATTTGTTTCTGACTTTAACACTCATTTTAATACTCAATGAACTGAGCCCAAACAAATGCAGGCTTTCATCCCGCTTCACCAGGAGCATCTCAAAGGCTCACTCCTTACCTAAGTAAAGGATGTCACAACAATTGAAGGCGTTTGGGGAATTTCTTCTTTAATGGGGGGAGGGGGTAGAAGAGAATATACACACACCTCCAAGGCTTCTGTCATGGAATGATTCACGCAATTGTAAGCTGCACAGCTCAAAACCAAAGAAAAAGAAAAGGAAAAAGTTCCTCTGGGAGCCATGCCTAATAGAGAGCCAGAACAAACCCCTTGCACGCCACTCTTGATAGAAAGGTGGGGGTGGCAGCTCTTAAAGGGGATGGCAGCAACAGAACAATGCCTGCCAGATCGGTGAGGGGAAGAATCAAGTGGCATATCTGAATCGAAAGGCATGCACGCTTGAGGCCACAGAGTCTAAGTGATTGCAAAGATGGGGAAGGAAAAGGCAAGGAAGAGGAGTAGAAGGAGCAAACACTAATGTCCAGCCATTTCCCCACTGGTTGCCCTTTGCTGATGACAGGGCAGAAATGCACACACCCACGGTCTAAATCATCAACTGCAACAACATTCGGGTTATGAGACATTTCTTTCCCCGCTTCCCCAGGTTACAAAGAAAACATTGCTTTAAAAAACAACCCACAATGTCTGCTCTTGTTCTCTCTCCCCACTGCAGTGTTAAATTACATTTCAGTGGTGGGGAGGAAGGAGAAATGATTTTATTTTTTTTTGTTTTAAAGCCACGATCTAGAAAAAATTATTTGTTGAAACTGTTGCTTTCCTATTTTTGTTTGCGTTTTTTTTTCTTAATAATGCTCATTTATAGAAAACGTCACAAAGGTGATTTATATGTACAGAAATCAGGGTTCAAAGGCTGCTTCAGTAGTCAGGGAAATAGCACCTTTTAAAGACAAAAGAGTTTGATGTGGTTTAAAAATCTGAGTCATTTCATTTTTCATTAATTTTAACCCTTTCCAAACCTTAAAAAAAAAAAGAAAAAGAAAAAGGAGCCAGTCGCAAAGCTCCACTAGTACAAACTCTTCCGAAGTCTTCATGTGAAATGCTGTCTGAAGGGGTTTTGAGCTCCCTATTCTATTGGTCAGCAATGCAGCTGACAGAGTAGAGGTAGCCTGTAGCCAGACAGGATTTTCTTGCAGTCCAAACCGAGAGCCGAAGAAAGGAATTCACAGCAGGCTATTGCACGGGGCTGGCCTTTTGTTCCACAGTTTCCTGGTTATTTTTCCTCAGGGTTGAAAAGGGTTAATTTTTTAATTATTATTATTAATCCTGGTTAAAACATGTTGCTCTGTGGTCCTGGCTGGTACTGCGTCTGCAGCAGGGTCTCCATGAAGGCCAAGTAATCTGGGTTCTGTCCATAGTCCTCGGGATTCCTGGAATTCCCCACTCGGGGGCGCTTGGCGGCTTTCACTTCGTCTCCAGAAAACACTCCTTCCTGAGGGGCCCCAGTGCTGAGGGACTACAGGAGACAGGAAAGTACAATCATTAAAGGGGGAAGATGCACGAGAGAGAAGCACACCTATTTAACAAAACTGCTTGGACAGGAGAAAGTGAACACTGTGTTACATACATGCTAGAGAAACACTGAAGGCTGGAGAGTGCAGGGACTGGCTCTGAGGAACACACTTGGCTTGTAGGACCATACGCTTCATTCAAGCAACATTCAAACAACTTCAAGTCTACTTCATTTCTGTAGCAGGTTCTCTTCCACTCTCTAACTCCAACCCACAAATCCTCTGCCACTGCAACCGTTCTCTGTCTGCTCAGGTTATTCATTCATCATAAAAAGCACCCTGGTAAAGGAAGCTTCTCTCACTTCCTCAGGCATTGGGGGGGGGGGGGGGGGGGGGGAAGAGTCTGTTTGGGGAAGAGATTGTTGTAAGACGACATGACATAGCTTATACACTGCTTCTCACTCTCAAAGCAGAGAGAAGGTTCTTGGTAAGCGTGGTTACTTCCTGTTGCTTCCTTCCTTTATCCAGCTGCTCTTTATTAGAGTATCTTGTACATCACTCACACAGAACTCTTCCTAAAAATCTCTGGGAACAGGAGGTATGCAGAAATAATTAAGCGTTTCAGCTCAGATGTGAGTTATTCACCTTTCATCAGAGTGTGCACGAAGGGGAGTGGATGTGTGTGTCAGTCACTCTGGAAATGTTACAACGCCTGAAGGTCAGGATCCATCAAAAGTGACATCACCACCCACCCTACCTCACCACTCAAATTCATCAGCTTTGCTGAAAGGCAGAACTGCAGTCAGATACTAACAAAAATATTGTCTAAAGAAAGACTGACGATCTCTGTTCACCTGATAAAAACGAACACAAACAGCTCCTCTGCCCCCAGAATCCACTTGAAAAAAGGACAAAAGTAAATTACACACAGCATAGTTAATCTGTGGAATTCATTGCCACAAGATGTCTGAGACCAGAGGATTCAAAAAAGGATGAGATATCTATATGGATATTGACAAATCTAGAGTTACATTAGAGATGATCAAAGCATTTTATAAGGGACTAAAAAACCTTCCATATTTCATGGCATAAACTAACGTATAACCAATTGGAGAAGTTTCTTCATAATCCCCACAGGTAGTTTATTCCACATAAATGTCCATTACAGGATTTTTTTATTTTTTTTATTTTATGTGCAACTTCAAGCCTCTGTTAGTGGCCACAGACAGTGTTAGTGGTCAGACAGACCATGGACTCTGGTGATCACTGGTGGAACTTGGTATGGCAGTTCCTATAATCCTTTTGTCTTTATCATGCAACAGTTGACATCACAGGCCTCTAGAACAAAGCAAGAAGCTGTACGTGCTTCATTGCTCTGGGCATCTGATCTCACCCTCTTGTGGAGGGGATGGCTTCAAAAGTCAAAGCAGCATCAGGTTTGGGGGAAAAAATTCTTGAGCCACAAATTCCAATCTTAGTAATATCAACTCAGTCCCTCCTATTTTCTAGGCCAACTAAATTCAGCCACAGTTAACTGCATGGAACTATGCCAACACTATGGGGTGCGATTCCCCCACTTGTGTACACACACCCACACTAGCTCATCTCATCTCCTACATTGTTTGGCTACGGGCTTTCTCCACAGCAGGCAGCCTCCCTACTCTCCACCCCTCCCCACAGCGTCCCCACCCAGCAGACGCTGCAGATCAGCGCCTTTCCCCTCCTCCCCCCTGCAGCAATCAGCTGGCTTGCCACGTTTAGGAGGGAAGGGGTAGGAGTGAGGACTCGGTGCGCAGGCTCCCCCTCCCTCCCCTGCCTCCTAGGAGGCGGGGGTCTGATCAAGGAAGTAGCCTGCAAAGTAAAGGGGGATGAGGTGGGGGGGAGGGAGAAGAAGAGGCAGGTCAAAGGTGGAGGCTTGGGGGAAGGGATGGAGTGGGTGGGCTGAGGGTTGAGCCCCCTGCCCCGGTGCTTGCAGAGTAGGGGAAGCTGCTGCCACTGCTGCGCAACGGGTGCTTCTCCTAGCCTACACCACCTTCAGCCTCCTTGCCCGCCTCATTGTCTCCAGTGACTTAATAGGATTTAAAGATGTTGTCCCCGATATGAAGACTTGGCCAAGAAAGCAGGTTTTGATGAGGTGGAAGAAGCTGACGTTACGCAACTTCTGCAATCGCATGGAGAAGAGCTAACCAATGAAGATCTGATGCAACTAGAGGTGACGAGAGCAATGGAAGAAGAGGGCCAAGAAGTAGAAGAACCACCAACCCATCGAAATTTGACTGCCAAACACCTTTCTGAAGCTTTCCAAATGATTGAAGCTGGCTTGCAAATCCTGAGCGATGACGATCCTGACAGGGAATGCAGCTCCAAAGTGATTAGGGGACTTGGTCATCTAATGACTTGCTATAAAGAAATTTACCAAGAAAAAAAAGGGAAAGCAAAACTAATCTCTAGATGTGTTTTTTGAATTCAGAAAGTTCAGCAAGAGGAGCAGCCGGACAATCCACCCTCTTCCACTCTCTGACTCCACCACCTCAACCAAGCTTCATACTCAGGAACAATTGTAGTATTAAACTGCTTGTTTAAAATTGTTTAAAACTTATACCTGTATTAAATTGTTTGTTTAAAACTGTTTAAAATGTGTATAATGCTTTTTGTCTGGCAAAAAAAAATTTTCCCTGGAACCTACCCCCCCATTTACATTAATTCTTATGGGGAAATTGGATTCGCTTAACATTGCTTCACTTAAAGTGGCATTTTTCAGGAACAGAACAACCATGTTAGTGAGGAGTTCCTGTAGTTGTGTAGCTGGTAGTGCAAGTATATACACATGAGCAGGGCGCATCACACCACTAGCTCATAGTGTAGACATAGACTATATGTTGGTCTTTAAGAGGAAGCTTAAAGAAGTAGGGGCCTCTGTGTTCCATGGGATTTTTAATGTCTGTTTGGAAGTCTCTTATTCCAGTATCGTTGGCCAACATTTCCAAAACACCACTGGGCTGCAGGTCAGTTCACCTGACCATTATCTTCTCACCCTGCAGGTAGCAATGTTTCAGTGGTGGAGTTTGTAACTGGTATCCTCCAGGCAGTGGTGAGCTGGAGCTGGTTCACACCGGTTTGCTAGAACCGGTTGTTAAATTTAGAAGCCCTTTTAGAACCGGTTGTTCTGCGAGGGACAACCGGTTCTAAAAGGGCTTCTAAATTTAACCGGCCAAAAGTGGCGCCTTTAGCGCCGATTCCATGGGTGCTCCAGGGCTAGAGCACCCAAGGGGAAAATTTGGTGGGTGCAGAGCACCCACCAGCAGCTCCCTGCCCCACCCCAGGCCCCAGTTCACCTCCACTCCGCTTCCTCTCCTGAATGCGCCGCCCCGCTCTGCTTCTCCGCCCCCCAGCTTCCCATGAATCAGCTGTTCGCACAGGAAGCCAGGGCGGGCTGAGAAGCAGGCCGTGGCTTCCCGCTCAGGCCCAGGGAGGCAGAGGTGAGCTGGGACTGGGGCGGGGGGGGGGAATGAGGAGGGCTGCCTGTGCCGCAGCAGGTAACCTGGGGGGGCGCACGCAGAGGAACCTCTCTCCGCCCCAGCTCACCTCCGCCTCCCTGGGCCTGAGCAGGAAGCCGCCCCCTGCTTCTCAGCCCTCCCAGGCTTCCCGCCGAACAGCTGATTCGCAGGAAGCCGGGGGAGGGTGGGGTGGGGAAGAGCATAGAAGCAGAGCGGAGCATTCAGGGGCGGAGGCGGAGCAGAGGTGAGGTGAGCAGGGGCCAGGCAAGGGTCGGGGAGCTGCTGCTGGGTGCTCTGCGCCTAAGATTCCACTTTTAATGTGATCAGCGGGGGAGCATACGCTCCCCCTGCTCCCCCCCTAGCTACGCTCCCCTACCCCTAGGAGCCAGAGGGACCTGCCAGATGCTTCCTGGGAGCTGACCCAGCTAAGCACCTCTGGGACTCCCCACCTTGCCCCCCGGCAGATGCCTCTGGCTCTTAGGGTTGGGCACCCACTACGGGTGGCCCAAGAGACCCTCCTGCCCGGTTCTGGGGGCAGTCAGGGAACAGGGGTGGATGGGGCGGGGGGGCATCAAGGAACATGGGGGGGTTGGATGGGGCAGGAGTCCCGGGCGGCAAGGGTGGGCAACGACCCCCTCGTGGGGTGATCAGGGAACCTGTTGTTAAGATTTTGGCAGCTCATCACTGCCTCCAGGACGAAAGACACTTTACTGAATACATGCTCTCTTAACTAGGGAACATAGAAATCAGGTCTTGACAAGCCGGAATTGTTTAAAACCTTTTCAAATGTCTTCATTAGTCTTTTTACAATCTTCCACATATTCTGAGAGTGAATTAGGGTCTTATAGTTCTAGACGGCAGAGGGAGCTTTTTTTAGGTCACTTTCAAAGAGCCTTTAAAAGAAAATCTAATGAGCACATGTGAGAAGCTGCTCCCCATGTTTTCTCCTGCGGATTTGATACCCACCAGGCGAGATTTCACTCTCTTAGGAAGCTCCTCCTCCAATGTGTAAATATCACCACGTTTTACCATCAGCTGGGAGCCATCTTCAAACTCCACCTGCAGAGAGCATAGTAGTAATCAGGTGACTGGCTTCTCCATTTACACCTAACAAGTCTCTCCTCACCTCCTTTTATCAGCCTAAAAAGTCCCCCGGATTCTCTGATGGACACAGAAAAAACAGTGGGAACCATGAAGAAAACACCCACCCCCTGCTGTAACGTTGGTATTACACTCTCATTAATAAGTCCTTCTTCCTTCTTAAATTAAGATTTTCTTCGAACAAGTCAAAATACATTTGTGTTTTAACAAGGAACAATAATCAGGCAGGTGTAAAAAATTGTGGTGGTAACTCTTCATTCCAAGCCTCTCTGAGCACTGATTACATCCAATGAAGTGAGCCGTAGCTCACGAAAGCTTATGCTCAAATAAATTTGTTAGTCTCTAAGGTGCCACAAGTCCTCCTTTTCTTTTTGTGGATACAGACTTACACGGCTGCTACTCTGAAACCTATCATGAATTATGTAACAGGAGATGTTACAGGGATGTTTATTCATGAAAATGAGCACATGAAATTTTAAACCATAAAATAAATATTCTCAGAGCCTCTTGCTTGCTTTGCTGAAGACTTACAGTAGCATCCTGGATAATGCAGAAAACAAACAATACGGTTTAAGAGAAAGGTAGGGTCTGATTTAAATTGAGGAAATTCAGAGGGACAAAAAAAAAAAATCTATGGGCAGGTCTACATTACTGCTTATGATGATATAACTTATGTTGCTCAGGGGTGTGAAAAAGCCTTCCCCCCTGCCCACTCCAAGTGATGCAAGTTACACCGACCTAAGCGCCAGTGTGGACAGTGCTATGTTGACAGGAGACGCTCTCCCACAGACATAGGTACTGTCTCTCACCGAGATAGAGCAATTAGGCCGAGAGGAGAGCTCTCTCCAGTCGGCATAGAGCGTCTTCACCAGACACACTACAGCAGCACAGCTGCACTGGTGCAGCTGGACTGACGTAGCACTTCTAGTGTAGACCAGCCCTATGTTTGAACTTGCCCCTCCTGTTGCACCCAGGTATTGTGGTTCATCAGCTATGCAAGGTCAACACCTCTTACTGTAGTCTCTTAACTAAGAGCTATACATCAGCTGTAACAACTAGGCACAAGGGAATACGTTATGGGTAGTTTAAGTCTCCATTCTGAATACACACACAAATGAGGTTTAAAGACAAACCACTAGAGTTAAATTTTCAAAAGATATGCACCTAACCTGAATGTGCAAAACATGGAACAAGTAACTTCATGAGTTGCAAAATGTACAAATGCCCATCTGCCTGCATATTTTGTTCTCATTTAGTGCTGGTAACATAGATGCTTCTTTACATATTAGCTTTTAATGCTATTTTAAATCAATATGTGAATTTCCTATATTGTAACTAAATCAGAAAGAAAACAGAACAGATTTTCAATGGAACCGTACAAAAGTTAAAATTTATGTTAAAAATCAGACTCTCTTTTCTTTGGAGCATCATGCCAAAGAGATCTTTAGGATACAAGTCTGTGGATTATGATGCTCTTCTGTTTGCATGTCAAGACCTTAGGCTATTTTTGTGAAAAAAAGACTAATCGGTATAATAAGTGCCTCTTAGACAAGTGTCCTGGGAAATTTCTCCCACCATACTTTTCAAGATTACTTAGGAATGCGAATCTACACGGCACAAAATAGTTCGTAAGTTTCATTGTGTGTGTTTGGTTAAACTGAGGTGCGCAGGGTGCACTTGAAACCTCCCAGAATCCTGGTAATTTTGAAACTTCTTGTGGCCCATTTAACCTAGATGTAGTCAAATGACAGTGTTGAATTTTGTGGAACTTCATGTTGAAATGCTGACTCTTCTTCAGATTTGACTGCTGGCCTCCTGTAAACAGAAATCCCACATGTGGTACAAAACACACGAACACACTGCTTCAGCACTCAGACTTGTGGGCTACAAAATTGGCTGCTTCTGTTCTCTGCTAGAAAAGGTAGTTGGTGACATGAATGACAGGACTGGAGGCTTCTAATTATTCACAGAATAGGTAAAGGAGATATAGCAGCAGGACATTGTTCCCACATACTGCTCTGCCATGTACCTTCCCATGACTCTCCAGGGCAGCGAGTGTCAAGTCTCCAAGCCCATTCTATTCCTGATCTCCACTTTTATTGCCAAGAGGGTTTTAATGACCTAAATACTGGTTTGTTAGGAAGCAGAGCTTTGTCATAAAGCTCATTTCACACAGGCCATTGAACAGCCAACAGACAGTGGCGATATCAAGTCACTTTTGACCTGGGTCACATGATGTCCCAGTAACCCATTAACAATCCCAAATCATCCAGTCCCCAACAGGTATCCCCCCAATGGATCTGAAAGGCCCCCTCTTCAGCAAGTTCTCTGTGTTTAGGTAACTCGTCTCTCTCAAATGACTCATCATAAGCAAAAGCTCTGCCAGAAACACTTGTAAAAGGGGCAAGGGAAGACTTAGATTTCCAATCAAAGCATCTTCCAGAGATCAGGTCCTCTTTAGATCAATGATTTTTCTTTTTTATCATAAACTATTTATCTTTGAGAGAGAAAATTTACTCTGTGCCAGAAATTCTATATTACATTTAACAAATCCTTTAAGCATTCACTAACCACTCCCGCTTTTCTCTACAGTTGCTTATCCACTGCACAGCTACATATAACAACAACTCAAGCATCCTTTTTCATCACAGAGAAAGGGTGTAAATGAAAAGAACCCATTGTGAATTTCTAAGAGCAGGACTGCGTAGATAGAGAGGCATACGTGTGTGTACATGCATCCAAAATCTGCCACTGAAGACACTTTTCCTGACTCTCTTCATTAGGAGCATTACAGTTCCTATAAGAATACAGGAAATATTAACTCTGGAGGTCACATTACGTCTTCATAAATACAACAAGCCTTCTGTACCTGTGAGGAATAAAGCTTGTGTAACACACAGGTGCTGTGGTGGAATTTTTAGACCCCTCCCTATTTACCTGATAAATCTGACTGATCTGGGCTGCAATAAACTTGGCCTTATAGATGATTCCATCAGTCCACTGCAGCTGAACCAACTCGCCTTCTGGAGGGGGTCCCATCTGAATGCAGTCTCTGCTCTAAAGACAGAAGAAAGTCAGGAAAAAAACAGACAAATAAAATTTGGGAACAAGTTGACCATCTTTGTCATAGTGACCAACCATGGAAGATACCACAATTACATGATGCTTTAACATAAGAACCCAGGAGGCTACCGCACCATAAGCAAATTTGCATCTGTTCAAAATCTCACTAAGCATAGGCAGGTTACAACCCATTGTTCAAGTACTGAACCAAATTGTCTGCACCAGCTGCCGGTGATAATACTTTGCAATTCTGTGGAACTCATCCAAGGCGCTCAAAGCAGCTCAGACCATACTGTGATGTATTACTCTCATTTTACAAGCACAGGGGAAGAGGTGTTAATTGACTTGCCCACAGTATTACATGGGAGGTCAGTGGCAAAACTGGGAATAGAACCCACGAAACTTGACTCTTAGTACCCTGCTCCAGTTCTTCAATACATTCCCCGCCCACTCTAATCTATTTACAATATTAAAACAAACTTACACATTGTCCTGTATTTACCCAAAACAGGACTTGGGAGGGAAAAAATGAGACTTTAAAAACGTAATTAGTGTGCAAGACAGAACAAACTATGTTCTCTTACGTCAGCGACCAACACTGGCAGCAGCTGTTGGTCAAGGAACAAAAGATTGGAAACCAGGTGATAATCAGTAAAGCCATATATAAGGAGATGCATGAAGATCACTTTATCAAACAGCTATGCGGCTAGCAATTTTTTAACCTATCGTAAAAAGATTTCTCAGGGTATGCTTTGTTGTTCCTTCCCTCAAAGTAGGCAAGGATTCAGCATTGCATCATATAGATCAGAGGTGCCAAACTGCAGCTCACGAGTTGCATGCAGCTCTTTTACACTTAAAGTGCAGCTCGTAGAGCTCATCACCCTCTCCCCTCATTCTCTGCCCACCAGACTCAGGGAGAGGGGAGCTCGGGGCTTCAGCCCTGCGAGGCATGCCTGCAGGGGCTTGAGCCTTCAGCCCCGACAGGCGTCTCCTGAAGATTATTGTACATGGCTCGGAGGGTCAGTAAGTTTGTCCACTCCTGCTATAGATTCTACCTGCAGTTACAGAGGAATCTAAAGAGCTTCTTACAGTAATGCTTTCCGGGTAAACGTTGTCGCTGTAAGAGCCATCGTCAAAGTTCACTTCATAGAAGGTTTGCGTTGTCATGCCAATTACTTTACACCTGTAGTAGAGTCCATTGCGGTTCTTCGTAATCACAGTCTGCCCCAGCGATACCTCCCTCCGAAACTGGATCTATGGAACAGACGAAAGGGACCAATCAGGGATCAAGAGAGACATGAGAGAAACAGTACATAGGAGGGATTTTAAATAGAAGACACTTACATTGTGGTTGGCTGCTTTATGTTTGAAGCAAGTGATGGACACAACATATGGCCAATCATCCGGCTCCATGGGTACCCCAGCGGCATGTGCACAGGTCACATGGAAGGATGTGGAGCAGTGCTCGTAGGAGCATTGAATGCAGGCACCAGACACCTTCTTCATCCGCTTCCGGCAGTACACACATTTCTGAAGTGAAACACAGGTTCACGTTATGCAATGGAGACAAAGTCAGCAGCAGCTTTTAATCAACATATTTGAGGCCGGAGGCCAGAGTTAGACATCCAGTTACCAGACATGGTACAAAACTCCTTGTTATCAACAGTTACACTGAAGTAGAGCTCAGAGGTCCCAACCAGGATCGAGGATGTCTCATGCAGTGCACAATAGAGACGGGGTAGTCAAATTCCTTTCAATCTGCCTGCTCAACCATTTGCACTCATCTAGAACCCATCCTGAGCCAAAACACACACATCCTAAATATAGCAGACACACAGAACTATTGTTCCCCTGAACAGCAACAAGGTGACATCATTTTAATCTTTCAAACAGCTATCAATGACACCATTGACTAATATGTGCCTGATGGATTAAGTCCTCACAAAAACAATTTGGGACAATGTTCTCTGGAGTGTACTGTATCATCATTACCTACAAGCATTATTATACACCCATTCTCCAGAGATTTTTAAATGTACCCATTTTAATTCACATTGTAGCTGAAACTTGGGAAACAAGTTGCTAGAATAGACAATTTTCCATCTCTGGACAAAACAACACAACACAGAACAACAGTTTAACATCTTATTTTTAAGTAGGCCCTTTTTATTATTACACATATACACACGGAATACATGATGACATGGTATAATTGTTTGACTGGCATCTATGTGGGATTATCTGACGTTATAACTCACTCACTGCTTTGCCACTCTTGGGTAAATAAAACATTCACAGTACACCATGTATTTTGAATACGCCACAGATGTTACAAAAAAGGTTTTAAAATGCTTTAAAGTCCTAACCGCCTCCCCCCCATTTGGACAGTTTCTTGTATTCCTCTGTGTAAAGCTAGCTGCCTTGGTTACTAGGAGTCCAACTATGCAGGGCTTAGAGAGAAAGGAAAGCAAATAATAAATGTAAAGTCTTGTCTACATATGGAGTTACTCCAAAAGAGATATTCAGGAATAACTCTTGTGTATGGACACTCTTATTCCAGAATCAATGTGTCATGTTCGCTTAATCCTCTTTGAAAGAAGATTAAACTAAACTGGAACAAGGCTTTCCAATTCTGGAATGAGAATATTATGCATTGGCTATGGAGCCAGCAAGACTTTTTTAACCTACTATTCATTATTCTTACCATGCCAGAATAAGGGCGTCCACAGATGAAATTACTCTAGAATAGCTATTGCATTTTGAATTCACACCTTACCTTAATCTAAACTAACTTTCAAGTGTAGACAAGCTTTAAGACACCTTTGAAATGAATCTGAAATAGCCTTTCTAAACAAACATGTCCTTGTTTTAAAAGTCCAGTATCTCATGGTACTGCAGAATTGGCATTGAGCACTGGGTACCACTGGGAAGCTGAGAATCGCCCCTCACTCCAATGGTATCAAACTCCCATTTCCAGCCCTGCAGGAATGCGGAATATTAAATTTTAGACTGGGATTTCCAACAGAGCCTCAGGGAGTTCGGAATTCACTGACTTTCATGGGGAATTGAGCTCCTAACTCTTATATGCTCATTTGGAAATCCCAGCCTTAATCCATAAAACATTTATGTCTAGAAAAGCTGTCACTGATGATTGGGATAACTTGAGAAAGAGGAAATTCCACATTTTGTGGAGGGAGGGAGGGAGGTTGCCCTTTAAAATGAATGCAACGGTTTCAAACTACTCATATGAATAGAATCCTGGGGAGATGGATTCTTGGACAAGTGATCAGGACACAGGTATGGGATAAATATTTATCACATGGAAATCATCTCCTCATATATTGTGGGTGGGAATAGGGATAGGAGGTCATTTTTTAGTCACCTGAAAATTGGTACTATGCTCCCGAAGAAAACACTGTATTGGGCCTCCCCCTCTCCTCATCTAAACATTAGTATCCCGTCTCTCCACTGGAAGTGAGACCCTTCCTCCCTCTGCAGCTCCTGCCATCAGGCATAGCCTTCCTTCCCCACTCCCTTCCTTGCATCAACTGTACTAGGTGCTGTAACAAAGACTGTCCCTGCCCCAAAGAGGGACAGATATTTCCCTCTCCCCACCCTTTCTCTTAGACTCCATCGGGCACACATGCAGCCCTGCGGGTAATTTTTGTTTTTACTGCTGCCTTGTGCCAGGCCGCGTTACCATGAGCTTGCCCCTGAACCCGAAGCCCTTCCTGAACGGGTTGACGGGGAAGCTGGTGATGGTGAAGCTGAAGTAGGGAATGGAGTACAAGGGCTACCTGGTGTCTATCGACAGCTACATGAACATGCAGCTTGCAAACACAGAAGAATTCATAAATGGTATATTGTCAGAACACCTTTGTGAAGTTTTGATAAGATGTAACACTGTCCTGTACATCAGAAGAAGAAGAAGATGGAGAAATGAGAGAATAAGTTTGTATATTTCTGGAAAATAAAGATCAGTTTTTCACAAAACAAACAAGCAAGCAAAGAGAGGAAATCACTCTGCCTCATACGTTCCCGCCACTCCCAATCATGCCCAGATACACCAGTAACACTCCTGTATGTGGACGCAATAAGTCAAGTTCATTTCTCTTGTAAGTATCAAAATCAGTGGAGAGAGATGAATTTGGTCCTGTGCTTTCACTCTGAATTCCTAGCTTTTGTTAGTCAAAGTCAAGCCCTTCGCATTGCCTGAATGTAGTTTTTAGTATTTAATAAGCTATGCCCTTATCGCTCCGTAAGCCATGTTCAAAAGGTAGATAAGCACCACAGCAAAGTGCACAGCAGGAATACAGCACTGAGAGCAAGTCAATAGCAATGAGATCTCATTATTAAACTGTCAATACCTAATTCTCTCTCTAGCAGGGACAAGCGCTGATATACGAAGTGCTCAATACAGCCTCTCAAGGGAGTATTAACCCTTGAGTACAGAGAGTCTGATTTTATTGCTGTAAAGCCTGCTTCCAAGCCTGAGGGATTAACATGAATCTAATGGCATCCCAGTGGCAGAGACACTCTGTTGTGCAGAAGAGCCAGACCAAAAGGAATGATTAGACAGATCAAATATGATCGGAGGAGAAAGGAAAATTTAAGTTACAGGGACCTTGAGGTGTGGAGTATGGTGAAAGCAGAGCACGAGTGGAAGACCTGGAGGTGTGGGACATGTGACTAATGGTTCCTGTAAGTCCTGAGTATTGTGGGGAAGATGCTCCGACAGATATGAATTAATGAGCAAGGGGAGGTGGGAAGAGAAAATGTCTAAGGTACGGGAGAAAAATACTCTGAATAAATGCACACAGAAAAAAATCAGATCATAGCTAAGAGTAAGGAATGGGCTGTCTACAGCATGATGAACACTACAATTCATTTACTCCAGTGAGGGATGACAGCTAATTATTCTGAATTTCCACGTCATACATAATTTACACATACAGGCCTGTAATACACCATTAATCAGAAGCCATGCAAACTGCGTTCTTTAGAATGCTGCAGCATGCCCAAATGAACTGAGAGGTCTGTGCTTTCAAGGGGGGCCCGGCCTCAGCACCTAATGCACATATTCAGGTCAGCTGGACACTGTTTTCAAACAAGTCACCCCAAGTCCTCATCCTGCACCTGCATCAGAGCGTGCTGCCCCACCACCCCCACATTGCTAAGGAAAAGTGATGTGAACAGTAACAAAATGCACTTGAATCCACTGGAGAGGCATCTCCCGCCACCTCCCTTCTTTACTCTAGTTCATTTACTTCAGCTACCTACGGCCTTCCTGTCATTCTTCACTCTCCTTTCCCAGGTCCTGTTCATGGGTCTGTTCATCCCAGCTCCACGCTCTCACCAACATCTGCCTCAACTCAAACACTACTGAAATCTCCAGCCTTACCCCCTCTTCTGTTCACCTTGATTTCAACTCCCTTCTCCATGTTCACCACAAGCCTCACCACATACAGAATACCTCTACCCACCTCTAATACACAAAAGAAAGGTGACCACAATCCTCCTGTCCTCCTCTTCAAACAACTCCACTGGTTCCCCCATTTGTATCAGGATGCACTTGCCAAAAGCCTCATGGACTTGCTCCATGGTATCTCACAATCCATGTTTCTCTGTACTCCCCCATGCTCATCTAGCTCAAAATTCCTCTGCACCGCTTCATACAATTTTACCAGGGCTGCTAGTTCAAGAACTTTCTCCTTTACATCCTACCGTCCAGAACAAAGCCTCCTTGTATCTCTGAGTCATTGACTTTACATCTCATTTCAAATTTCAGATCAAAATGTAATTTATCTTCCCTTAGTTATGACACCTATAAAAGTAACGCAGCATTATATATGGTAACGCTGCAACACATTGTTGTTTCCAGCACTGGTATGTGCATATATATTATAATGGCACCCACAAGTAAAAAGCCAAAAAGGGATCTTAGCAAGCAGACAGTAAACACACACAACAGACATTCTGGTGGTGTGGGATAAAGGGGCTGAGAGTCAGTCTACTTCCTACATCCTAAAACTAGTCCTTACTGCAGGGGTAGCAGAAACTTTCTGCAAGGGTCACAGTGGCATCTTGCCAGAAGCTTCAGAGCTGAATGTGTGTCCAAGCAGATATCTGAGCTCCTCTATGTTGCCTGCTGGCAGAGTAAGGTGTGATCTTGGCATAAACTGCACACAATTTAAAATATTTAAGACTCCAGCAGACAATGGGAAGGGCTGCTCTGATTAAGATGGAGTAGTGCATAGTGGGTCACACAGACTAACATTTTCAAAATCAGGTGCCTAATGCTAGGCTTTTCAGGGGGTGCTTAGCACTTGCAGCTCTTACTGACTTCCAATGGGAGCTCTGGGTGCTTAGAACAATAGACAGTTAACTAAGTGTCCTGATTTCCAACCTGAGGCATCAAATGTGAAAATTCTATACCTCCCATGAAATAGGAAGGAAACCATAAGGGACAATTTTGGCCCCATGCCCTAGCGGATGTTCATTCATAGAAGAAAAGCCACTATACAATTCAGCAAGACTGTCCATCTATTCAGGACTGAAACAGCAGAGGTTGTGTTAACAGATCTGAGCGGGGTCCCAGGTTGAGAATAGTAGGGACTGCTTCAGGTTGGGTATGACTAGTCTGAGGTATACCGGTAGAGCTGTATAGGAGAAGCTACCAGCTGCTGCCCATACTCTACTTAGCTTTAGACCATGCTATCAGTCAGTCACTCTTACTCCCACACTGTCCTTCACTCACCCTGCCATGCCCAAGTAATTTAGCAAATCTGGCAAGCCTTATCAATCTCAAACCCTGTAATGCCTTAGGCATGAAACTCAACCCGCCTACTTCTTGTGCATACATGTCAAGCGTGTGCATGAACCTCTCTATAGGCACTTATGAAAATCTGGTTCTTTTCATTTCTTAACGTTGCAGGGTGTGAGAAAAAGACACTGTTGATGTGGGGATGCGTACAAGGGTATGTTTGGGCTGACCTGTGTATAAAGCAGAGCTGGCTGGGATGCCATATGAAGGAAGGATGCTATTTTAGTACTCTGTCATCTCCAATATTACTTCCCTTGCCCTACACAACAAAACCCACCAGCTTATCCAACAAATCCCCACACGCTCTGCCTGGTAAGAGTCAAGCTCATTTCACCCCTAGAAAAGTAGTGTTTCTCTTCCTCCCAAAAACTGCGGCAGCTGAGTCCAGCTGTTCTCAGTGAGACCTGCAACACAGGTAAGCTACTACAAAGAATGGTTTTCTTAAAATGTCTACTGCAGCTAAAGGAGGAACATGGAATTTACCAGGATACTGGATTGGACTGTTGGTCCATGCAGGGTACCATGTAGGATGAGGTACAGCTCAAAGGCCCTAATCAGGATCATGGGCCAATTGAGTCAGGTGTTGTACGAATAAATGCTTCAGATGAAGGCCTATTAAATCCATGATGCCCTTGGACACCTGCAAAATGCTGCACAGTGGACAGAAATCCATGGAAACTTGTTACTGAATCCAGTAGCATCACACCAAAGGCTTCCCAATGCTCACCTTCACTTTCCTGCCCCCACAATTTGTGGTTCTCTCTCCCACACCACCAATACACACGCCATACCCCTCTAATTATCTTCTGCCTGTAAAGTCTTCCCCTTTAATCACAGAGTCCTCCCACACAGATCCATGCCAACCAGTCTGGAGTTCACTACGACAAAGTGATGCTGCATAGACTCAGTGGCGGATGCTGCACAGTTGCAGGGCAGTCATGCAGGAGTTAACAGGTTTTTTTGTGAGGCCCCATTAAGCAATACAAGCGACTTCTGTGTAAAAGGATTTTTAATTCATCGTTACAAGTGGTGGTAATGAAGAGGATGCATGCTGGAAATGTCAGACGATCCATAAAGAGCTGGTGCTTCAAGATTTATCACTCTCGCATCACATTGTTCCATCATGCAACCTGAATAATGAATGCTTTTTACATTCACATTTGTGTACAAAACCCATTTGCACAACAGAAGAATAACTCTAGAAGCATACACAGATTCTTCTTAATCTCTCATCCAGGAAGGGCTGGGCTGCCTACACTGAATAGCTGCACAGTTAACAAATACATCAGCACTAACTACCAAATACATCAGTACTAATGGCATCTTCCCCCACCATATCCCACTCTTGCTGTCCAAAACTGACTCCCACACAAAAGAAAAGCAAAAAGCACAATTTATCTTACCAAATGCACCCATAGCAGAGGGGTATTCAGAACCAACTGGGAGAACATAGCACCCTAGGCCAAGCCAAGACTCACTGATTCCATATAATCATTAATCCCCTGGGATGAAGCTATTGCAACCACCACAGAAAGAAATTAGGTTACATGCCAGGAGCTGAATTTCTATTGATCTATCTTCTCCCGATTCCCTCCTTATCGAGATGACCACAAGGGGGCATGTGGTAATTTCTGCACAGACAATGGAGATGAGAAAGATTTCCTGATGGAGAAAGTGAAACATTTTAAGGGAAAGCAGACCCTCTCAGACATATCCAAAGGGTACTGCTTCCTGAGGCATTTCTGGTGAAAAATAGGAGAACATCCTCCAGCCCTTGCAGCCTGAGGCTCCTACACAATATTTATTGTTTTTCCTCACTAGCGAAGCCAAACCCTGCTGTTATGCAAACAATCCCCAGGAAGCACCTACCAGTTTCCACCGCTGTTCTGGAATAGCACTGATGTCCACAGGATGGCGCTCTATTACGTTGAGGAAACGGGCCTCTGGGACAGCAATAGCACAGATTATATGGATCCACCTGGAAATCAGAGAAATTAGAAGCTGCCATATTTTTTTAATTTTTTTGGCACATTTATGGGATGAACAAACTCTAGAGGGCTGTTAACATTTCTCCCGGTTTCTCTTCTATAGTATCTGGACACATTTATGATAGTTGGCAGCACTGGTAATATTAGCATCTGGTTATTAATCATGCACTGCACTAGATAAAGGTCTCTGGAACAACAGGGATCAACTTTCTTCAATAGGGAACTGTGCCTGCATGGTGCTGAGCACTGTCTGAAAGGTGCTGCCTTTGAAGTCAATGACATTAAAGGTGTTCAGTGCCACACAGAATCAGACCCTTAAGAGCAGAGAAAGAGTAGGACAGCACAGCCATCTCAGTTCACCCATCCACTCTAGAGAGCAGCAATTATGCATGTGAGGCAAAATTTCGCTCCCACACTGGAGCGCCATGACCAGTGTTTACGAGATAAACAAAATTACTTGCACTAGTGCTTGGATGAGACTGCTGGTATACGTGCAATGCAACGTAGTGGTAGCTGTGCTGGTCCAGGATATTAGAGACACAAGGTGGGCGAGGTGATATATTTTAGTGGACCAATAAATCTTTTATTTATTCTGTTGGTGAGAGCTTTCCAGGGAAGCTGGCCCAATAAAAGATATTATCTCACTCGCCTTGTCTCTCTAGTATACATGCAAGACATTTGAAATGCTACCTACCTTCCATCAGTGGTCATTTGAAGAGCTCCTCCCCTGAGATTACACAGGCAGCAGTCCTACAGTAAAAAACCATCAAAAAGATTAATTGGAAAGGCAACCAAGGCAATCCCAAACAAAACCTCCACAGAGATTTATTAAGATGGGGCAACAGCAGGCAGGGAAATACTTTATCTCCCCACCTTCCCTCGGTGTTGAAGCATCCAGTTAATTCTCCCCAAAACCTTTCCTTTCCAGTCTCCACTACAGTAGATACTTACCGCTGCCCATGCATTGGCTGAGCACCGTGAACAAGACCAGCCTTCATTCACCAGATCAGGACGTATTCCATAGCAACCTGAAAGAAACCAAAGTATTCTTCTCACACTCTTGGCAACACATACGTGATTGTTCAGGTTAGATGTACCTTGGAAATTAGACACAGCATTTGGAATAACCAGATTCAAAACCCAGGAGACCACAATACATACATGACAAGGAAGAGGAGTCACCTAGGGGTAGGGCAGCTAGGATTGATGTGACACACTAATGAAGTAGAATGTGAAACCCCAACACCTTCCTAGGGCCAGAGGTCAGGAGGAGATGTCTGGCACTACACTCAAGAGATTGGTCTCAGAAGATATGCCCCTACTGCTACACTAAATGGACACATCAAAAGGGGTAAGAATGATGAGCTGATTTAAACCCAGCTGGTGCAGCCATCTTTGCAGAAAGATTGAGTAGGACTTTACTTTATTCTACCCCTTTCCCCCCCTTCAAATAATCTAGCAGTGGGGAATTAAACACTCTATGTGCTTACTGTTGCACATCACACAGGAAGTCAGCGGTGGAGCAGGGAACTGAACCTCGGGGGAATCCCAGGCTAACCAGTGGGCCATCCTTCCTCCCAAGCACCTCATGAGAAATTTTCAGCTTAACACACTAAAAGCTAGAAATCAAGGTGCTACCATCTCAGCTGAACAGGCCAAAAGGGTCTCTAATATACAAAGCTCTGCAATACTTAGTGTTAATAACTTGGGTAAACTAAAGGTAAATATTCAGCTATCAGTGAGGGCAACACAGGACCCAGCTCCATAACAAGCAGCTACCTAAACCAGGCAGACAACCTCAGAAAACAGTCAATAATATACACCCATGGTTGCCTCCTGCATATGAAGTTCCTTTCCACCACGCAACAGGTCATGAAAGCAGATCCAATCCAGACCTGGCAAAAGAGGCGGGGTGACAGAGTTTGGAAAACTGATTAGGAAGCTGACATGAGTTTCTGTTTTAAGCCCTTAAGTGAAATCTCTGTGGAGCCCAAACCTGTGTGGAACAGACTGTGAAATTTCAGCACTGATTTCTTGTTTCAAGACCACAGGTCAGGGGACCTCTGGACTTGAGGGGGGAATCTTCTGAAGTAACACAGCTCTCAGATGAGAGAGGGAGAGAGACAAACTAAAGAATGAAAGAAAAAAGGAGCCTAAAGGAGAAACTACGATGAGAAACATATTTGATATTCATGTTTGTTTTCAGAAAATAAATTAAATCTTGCTTATTAAGAGCAAACCAGCCTGCTCAGACTAAATTTTAACCTTTGAGTGCCGCTGTCTGTTTCCTCAGGAGCCATGGTGCTTCTGAATGTAGCTAAGATGCAAAATCTCATTCCTTTAAATAAATAGGAGGCTTTCAGCTTCCAGAAATAGCTATGCAAGAGAGAGGGGAAGAGGTGTGTGCGGAGGGGAATGAGAGTGATTGAAGCCCAGAATCAATAGTTAATGCAACAAGGCTAGAAAACAAGCCAAGTAACTACTTTCTCCCCTCAATAGGGTGTGTCAGCACCTCAAGGGCCTAGAAACCTTGGCCGAGGTTTCCTGGCATCCCTCCCATTGTCACAGCCTAACGCAGCTGGGTAAGACTCCTCCAAATCGGACTGCAATAAGTGGCCTGCTCAGCAGTTTTACAGCACCCAGCCAGTCCAGCTTCAATAAGCCCCGATGCTGTAGTGCCATTCTACAGAGTGAGAAAACTGGTCTCACCACACCAAAGTCAAATGGATACTGGAATCTACTCGTGTAAACAGACAGTGACAAGGAGACAGGGAGGCACCTGCAACATTAGACTAGAGTGAAGCAGCTAAACCCAAGCCTCATGGATCGAGCATAGTTAAACCTGATTAGCAGAATGCACCAGGCTCAGTCTATGACTGCAGATTAACTTTGCTTTATTCATATACACAACACTCTCTCCAAATCAGAATTTGGCTTGCTAACTTTGTTCCTGCATACCTTTCTACTGGAGATATATGCACGTCCTGGATAAAGAGACTCAACTCTCCAGTGACGACTATCTCCAAGATGAGAAAGCCATCTCTATCATGGGTGCACTCACCCTATGTCAACATACTACACACCATGTGCCGGAAGCGACCATCTTGTGGATGCAAGAGAAGTTCATCCTTTATTCTAATTCTCCACAACAGACATTTGTGCTCAACTGCTCTTGTCTATAAAGCAGAGACCATAAAAGCAAATTTTGTGGCTACAAGTCAAATAATTCTTTCCATCTGCCAAGGTCAAAGAGCAGAATAGTAATTACCACACTTCCTAATATTAGTACAAATCTTAACTAGATGCTGTACAATCTACAATACTCCTGACGAAGACCAGCACCTTCAACCAGCTGCCATCAGAAGTCCTCTCTTGGGCATAATAATCAAAAACATAGTGGTTTGTAGTGTTGTTGTAGCTGTGTTGGTCCCAGGATATTAGAGAACATGGGGGAGGTAATATTTTTTAATGAACCAACTTCTGTTGGTGAAAGAGACAAGCTTTCAAGCTACCCTGAGCTCTTCTTCAGGTCTGGGACCTTTCCGATAGAAGATATTACCTCACCCATCTTGCCTCTCTAAAGAAACAGACATATATGTCTTCTGTGATAAACTAACATTGTCACAAACAGCAACACAGACACTATGAAAATGCATCTCAGAAACTATTCCATAACCCCAGGTGCTCCCAAGAACAAGAGGTTCACAGAAATCATGGTATTAACTACCCTCTCTCATAAAGCCTTGATAACTGGTTCACCTAGTAGGTCAACATTTGAACAAGTGAGAGGATTGAGAAGGTTAGTTAAACAGAAATTAAAAGGTACAGTGACTAGAGTGAAATCCTTGCAAGCTGCATGGACACTTTTCAAAGACACCATAATAGAGGCTCAACTTAAATGTATACCCCAAATTAAAAAACACAGTAAAAGAACTAAAAAAGAGCCACCTTGGCTTAACAACCGTGTAAAAGAAGCAGTGCGAGATAAAAAGGCATCTTTTAAAAAGTGGAAGTCAAATCCTAGTGAGATAAATAGAAAGGAGCATAAACACTGCCAAAGTAAGTGCAAAAATGTAGTAAGAAAAGCCAAAAAGGAGTTTGAAGAACAGCTAGCCAAAAACTCAAAAGATAATAAAATGTTTTTTTTTAAATACATCAGAAGCAGGAAGCCTGCTAAACAATCAATGGGGCCCCTGGACGATCGAGATACAAAAAGAGTACTTCAAGACAATAAAGTCATTGTGGAGAAACTAAATGAATTCTTTGCTTCAGTCTTCATGACTGAGGATGTTAGGGAGATTCCCAAACCAGAGCCATCTTTTGTAGGAGACAAATCTGAGGAATTGTCACAGATTGAAGTATAACTAGAGGAGGTTTTGGAATTAATTGAGAAACTTAACTGTAACAAGTCACCGGGACCAGATGGCATTCACCCAAGAGTTCTGAAAGAATTCAAATGTGAAACTGCAGAACTATTAACTATGGTTCGTAACCTGTCCTTTAAATCAGCTTCTGTACCCAGTGACTGGAAGATAGCTAATGTAACATCACTATTTAAAAAGGGCTCTAGAAGTGATCCTGGCAATTACAGACCAGTAAGTCTAACGTCAGTACCAGGCAAATTAGTTGAAACAATAGTAAAGAATAAAATTATCAGGACACATAGAAGAACATAAATTGTTGGGCAAAAGTTAACATGGTTTCTGTAAAGGGGAATCATGTCTTACTAATCTATTAGAGTTCTTTGAAGGGGTCAACAAACATGTGGACCAGGTGGATCCAGTGGACATAGTGTACTTAGATTTCCAGAAAGCCTTTGACAAGGTCCCTCACCAAAGGCTCTTAGGTAAATTAAGTTGTCATGGGATAAGAGGGAAGATCCTTTCATGGATTAAGAACTGGTTAAAAGACAGGGAACAAAGTGTAGGAATAAATGGTAAATTTTCAGAATGGAGAGGGGTAACTAGCGGTGTTCCCCAAGGGTCAGTCCTAGGACCAATCCTATTCAACTTATTCATAAATGATCTGGAGAAAGGGGTAAACAGTGAGGTGGCAAAGTTTGCAGACGATACTAAACTGCTCAAGATAGTCAAGACCAAAGCAGACTGTGAAGAACTTCAAAAAGGTCTCACAAAACTAAGTGGCTGGGCAACAAAATGGCAAATGAACTTAATGTGGATAAATGTAAAGTAACGCACATTGGAAAAAATAACCCCAACTATACATACAATATGATGGGGGCTAATTTAGCAACAACTAATCAGGAGAAAGATCCTGGAGTCATCGTGGACAGTTCTCTGAAGACGTCCACGCAGTGTGCAGCGGCAGTCAAAAAAGCAAATGCGTTGTTAGGAATCATTAAAAAAAAGGGATAGAGAATAAGACGGAGAATATTTTATTGCCCTTATATAAATTTATGGTACGCCCACATCTTGAATACTGCATACAGATGTGGTCCCCTCATCTCAAAAAAGATATACTGGAATTAGAAAAGGATCAGAGAAGGGCAACTAAAATGATTAGGGGTTTGGAACGGGCCCCATATGAGGAGAGATTAAAGAGGCTAGGACTTTTAAGCTTGGAAAAGAGGAGACGGGGGGGGGGGGGAAGAGATATGATTGAGGTATATAAAATCATGAGTGGTGTGGAGAAAGTGAATAAGGAAAAGTTATTAATTGTTCCCATAATATAAGAACTAGGGGCCACCAAATGAAATTAATGGGCAGCAGATTTAAATGAAATAAAAGGAAGTTCTTCACACAGTGCACAGTCAACCTGTGGAACTCCTTGCCTGAGGAGGTTGTGAAGGCTAGGACTATAACAGGGTTTAAAAGAGAACTGGATAAATTCATGGAGGCTAAGTCCATTAATGGCTATTAGCCAGGATGGGTAAGGAATGGTGTCCCTAGCCTCTGCTTGTCAGAGGGTGGAGATGGATGGCAGGAGAGAGATCACTGATCATTACCTATTAGATTCACTCCCTCTGGGGCACCTGGCATTGGCCACTGTTGGTAGACAGGATACTGGGCTGGATGGACCTTTGGTCTGACCCAGTATGACCATTCTTATGTTCTTAGGATTGTAAGTGGCTTACTTGGCAATTTCTGGTTTCCAAGGTATGATGTACATAAATGGTACTTTACATGCCCATAGCGTCAGACTCCTTGCACTGACAAAGGCCAAAACAGGTGAAACAGCAGGCAGAAAGAAACTAAGATACCTCCAGAAGCAGGATCTGCTCAAAGATATCTGCTCTGGAGTTTCCTCATTTCTAACAGGGCATCATCACCGATAACCACATGTAAGTGCAAAACTAGTTAGAAGTAATTTCAACCTGAATCCCCATGAATATGATGTACAGTTGGTATATTCATGCTGCACTCTCTCTGTAGTAATAGCATGGGAGATAGAATTCTTAACGCACTTTTTATTCCCTTTTCTTCCATTCTGCTCCCCATGTAACTCACCTGGAACTGCTGGCACCAGTACTCTTTTTAACCCTAGCAAAAGGCTCATTGTCTGCCCCAGCTGTGCAATCATTCAACAAAGATGGCCATTTCTCTCGGAGGATTCTCTTATGGAAGCGCAAGTGTAAAACTGGCCAGGAATCATTACATTACACGGTGCAAGTGAGCAAGGAGGAGGTATGTAATGAGCCATGGCTCCACTCGTTGCTGCTTCCATTAGGTGGTTTTATACTTTTCATTTCAAAAGATCTCCGAGAATGATGCTCTGTCGTCTTAACTGCTGAAGGGAGATTTCAGGATTCTATTTCCCACCACAGCAAAAGGATGCAATATCCTGTTTCAGTAGTGCAGACGGAGGGGCGGGGGGGGCGGCAGAACGACTTTAGACACTGGTTGACCTTTAAAAGCTCCAGTCAGTTCCCCATAATGGCCTGGGAAGAGAGTATGTCAGTGGCACACGTTTTGGGAGAGAAATTTAAGAACTTCTTTGTCCTCATGAGACTCCCTGGAACCCAAATTACCATTCTGTTCATGCAGGCTTTGAGAAAGCCAATCTGTAATAGATGTGTCACAAGGAGAAAAGTGCCCAATAAAATAATGGACTTTCCTCTAAAAGATAGTATCTCAATGGGAGCCCAATCTATAGCTGAAAACATTTTAGAGGCTGAGCTGCTCTAGTTTCAGCTGCTATTGAACACTGCCCTTGGGGTTGTAACAGGGGACATTCCCAATCCACTCTAGAAATGGAGGCTGACGCACTGAAGTGAATGTACCTGTTTTCGCTTCCTCAGGTGTTTCCCCGTGAGCAGCTTTTAATCAGTACCATGGCTGATCACACAAGCTAACGATTTCTACTTAGTGTCCCCTACCTGACTTACATGTCTAAGGTGGCATTGCTGTATTCGCCTGGCTTCCACATCCCCTGGACTCACCAGCGTGGCTTAGGAAGAGAGGCTGCACATTGGGAGTTTATATGAAAGAAGCCTGCATAAGAAGGGAGCTTCCATCAGGCAGGACCTGATCTCTCCCTTATTCGCTCTCCCTCCTTCCCTCTGACCAGAGAAAATAATTCCAGGGGGAGCAGAAGAGGAACAGAAAGCAGATGTACAGAAATATGCGAGGATGGTCATAGCTAGGACAGACCTGAGAACACAATGAAGAGGAAATGTATATGCATATTAGTATAGGACCTGAAGAAAGGGAATGTGGCAGGAACCGCAGGCATGTCCATAAAGTGTCCAAATGCAGAAAGCATAGGTGTAAAGGAGCTTACAAGTGTCTGAATGCCCAGAGCCCTTAGTGGGAAAGGAGGAACACTCACTTGCATGAACCTGCAGGCAGCACTTGGCACAGGATATCAGGAGGCTGGTTCCATCTTCTCCAATGTACGAGTTTGAAGGAAGGGGCTCTGTGTTTTCACCACCTGAGGTAAAGCACATCTCAGGGATCAGAGGCTTTGTCTTCTGTCCACACTTTGAAAGCTGGAGCAAGGAGGAGCTCTCCCCTGTGGAGACCTGGACAGACTCTTTATCCATCTGTAAGGACTTAAGAAGGAAAAGGAAACAGTGGTACACAGAGTCTCCACTTTGCCCATCCACTAACTGTTCTAAAATTCAAAGAATATCACCCTTGTGAAAAATCAATCCTCACTAGCTCATGCTGTTTGCAACCATGCAACTTGTGCTCTTATCCAAACTCCTAGCTCACATGACAAGAATCTTGTCACTCCCCTCCGTTCCAACAGGATATGCCCTGGGATTTGTCGTTTGGTTTGGAAGCTCAGGGATGCATTAGAATAATGAGCAGCATTCACTATTTTTGTGTTTATACTTTTATAAAATAAGATCAAATCCCCAAATGCTGCAGAAGAAGATGATTTCAACAGAATAAGCAAGATCTACCCTCCCCTTCCGCAGCCTCTCCTGTTCTTTAAGCAAGAATTTCTTCAGAAGGACATTTAAAGGTTTCTGGTAGTAAACCAGAGTTAAAAACAATAGATTAAACAGCCAAGCTGCACCCAAGTCTCCTCACAATCCATTATACAGCAGCATCATGCAGTCCTGGAGAGAGACTATTTCTTGTCTGCAGAATAAATCAGGGATTTTTTTTAAAACACGCATGCCCCAAGTGAACACAGAGCTGTTTCTGGCTCCATGTGCCCTACTTATGCAGGGACAAACTGGGGCAGAGTTGAGCAAATAACATATCTAACAAATTTTGCCTTCCTGCTCATGAAATATCTGGAAGCAAATTGAAAATTCCTTAAAGCTGATGTTCAAATTCAGAGGATGGAATTTTTACTCTAATCTTACTTTTTGCTTGTGAATATTCAGAAGCCTGGAGGCAGTGCTTCAATGTAAGTGGTCAGATGAATAGCATTGTATGTTTCTGTTCCCTGACTGGATGAGTGTGCTAGGATTTCTGGTGCAAAGATTTGCATGTGTGATTTTAAATACCAGTTTTCAAAACACTACTTGAACTCTAAGGGAAAGCAACACACACACACACGTGAATGGGGCTAAAGCACATTTGAACAAAAATACTGCACTAATCATATATATTTTTTTAAAAAGTCACCCATATCTGCTGGGACAGCAAGAGGCCCACTAGGATTTTTATTCCCAGTGTTTTAAAATAAAGGGGGAAGAGATTCAGTACATCTCTGAAAAGTTGATACCTTAGTGGAACTGGATGCGAGAAAATAGAAGGCCATCAAACTAGTAACTGGGGGATAGGATGTTGGAACAAGCATATTTAAACTGATAAAAAACGCTCTTTGCCATGTGATTCTGTCTCTACACCTATACGGGGGGTGGGGGTAATTACACATGGCTGAATACAAATATATTCATACATATGTACACACACACACACACACACACACACACAGAGTACCCTATTACTACAGGGCTACAAGGCTAACTCACGCTGAGTACCAATTCGATGCACACGCAAGTGCAGCAGCACTGTATGTATTAATGTCTGCTCCTGTAAATCACTACAGGACCCAAATGTGTCAGTGTGTTACTTCTTATTTTTTCCAATCCCCTTGAAATGAGCAGCTTTGGTATTTACGCCAGACACAGCTAAGTTATCAGCACTGTGTACGCCATGCACAGAAGAATTTAACATCTTGAGAGGCTTTACGAATTTTGGATGCCTCTCATCCTGTGTGGTCTGATTTATAATATACATCTGATAGGTGGGGCAGGGTTAGATTTGGTTCCCAATGTTTTGCCTGGCAATGACTGCCAAGAAAATCTGCATCTTAAACTGAAGTTCCCAGAACTTTAAATCCCAGCAGCCTCTTATGGCAAGCGAGGAAGACTGGACGTGCCCAGAAAACCTTTCTGGGTATTATCTCTGATTTACTCAAATGATTAGAAAATGAAAACAAATGAGACACCATAAAGATTTACATATGCATATCTCCTTTCTGCTGCCTTGTACAGTGCCTCCTGACTAAGCTCAGGCTCCAATCATTAATTTTTAAAACGAGACCATCACCATTGCTCTTGCTTGTGTAACTGAAATGTTACAGCTGCTTGTATTAGCCTGGGAAAAGAGGGATCCTGTAGTGTATGTTCAATTCAGTAGCACTGAGGTTGGCCTCTCCTAGGTAGGGACAAAACCACAGAAGGACCTGACATTACTCTCGGTCAGCATTTTGCAAATCCACCCTCAAATTTCAAACAACCTGGCGAACGTAAAAACAGATCCAGGTAGATTCCTCTTTCAATCAGACAGAGTGTCTCAGGGTACATCTACACTATAAAAAACAAAAAACCTGCAGCAGCAAGTCTCAGAGCCTGGGTCAACTGATGCAGGCTCATGCTATGGGGCTAAAAATATTAGTGTAGACATTCCAGCTTGGGCAGGAGCTCAGGCTCAGAAACCCAGTAAGGAGGGTTCTCTCAGAGAAATGTCTACGCTGCTCTTTTTAACACTGCTGTGCAAGTCCCTCAAGCCCAAGTCAGTTCACGCAGGCTATGAGACTCTCTGTTGTGGGTTGGGTTTTTTTGTTTTGTTGCAGTATAGATGTACCCACAGAGAGCAGAGACTGCTTTCTCTTTAGGGACCCCTGAGCTGCACCTACTCAGCTTGAGAAGTTGTCAAGCTCTGAGTTTTGGTTGAGGAAGAGGAGAAAAAGCATGTGGTCCACCAGTTTTTAGGAGAAGGGCAAGTTTTGCACAGTCCTGGTGGCCTTGTGTAGACAACATTAATAATAATAATAATTTGCACTTATCGTGTTCCCCATCAGAGGATCTCAAAGACCTTTGCACATCAGTTCTCACACCATCCCTCTGAGGTGGGCAGTATTCCCATTTGCAGATAAGGTAACTGAGGCAGAGAGATTAAGTGAGGTACTGAAGGTCACACAAAAATTCTGTGGCAGAGCTCAACACAAGACAATCTGAGGTTAACGGCATACTCCCTTGTCATGGAACTTCTGTTTTACTTAAGTAAAATTAAAAATTAATGCAAGGAAAGATGAAAAGCCAATAGGCTTTTCCCACTGTCTCTGCTATTTCCAGATACATCTCTATGGCACACGGGGTTCTGACTTATCAATTTACAATAAAAGCCTAGATCACCACACCGACACCATGAAAACAAACCCACACTAATCTGACTAAAATATGCGATACCCTCCACTGACCCACCCATCCGCAGCAGTATCCGAAATTACCTGGTTATAAGGGTAGAAGAGGGTACAGACAGCACAGTAGGGCTCACTCAGGGCAGCAGCTGCATTGAATTTTCGCTCAGCTGGGAAGTTATGTGCTTTATTCTTCCACTGCAGGGAAAGTAAAGACTTCAGAGCCTCTGGGTCACTCACATCCTCCTCCCCGGAAAATGGAAACGTTTCTAGAGTAAAATGAGCAATGGGAAGTGTCTTCAGTACGGACGAAATGCAGCAAGAGGGTGTAAAATAAACACTCTAGTGACACTTCGGAGAAGTTAAAGAACAAACACTATCAGTTAGCTCTTCTATAGCACTTTTCATCCGTAGGTGCCAAAGCACTTTACAAAACCAGCTATCATCATTTCCATTTTACAGACAGGGAAACTGAAGCTCAGAGGGAGAGTGACTGGGCCAAGCTCACATGACAGGTCAGTGGGAAAGAAGAGAACCCAAGTTTCCTGACCTCCTGACTCCCAGTCCCAGTGTCCATGCATTAGATCATGCAGCCTCCCCTAATTAAACCAAAGTTCAAAGTGTGCAATGCCGATCTATAGTAATCCCCTGGCCTCCAGGCAGTAGTTTCATCTTTCAGGAAACTACATGATTTGTTTGGTCAAGCCAGCTCCCAAGAGGGGTCTGAGTATCACCCAGTCTCCACCTGTGAGTGACAACTCTGTTCTCAACTACCATCACAGGGTGCACTCCTTACCCACCTACAGATTTAAATCTTGCTCAAGAGGCAAGCTCAGCCTGGGTTCTAGTCTACACTTTTCTGCAACTATTCCCCCCCACCCTCTTTCATCAACTGCAATCTACTGAGCAACCTTCATCTGCTTCTGGCACAGGTCTGACAGGCAGCTGTTTGTGATTAGTTTCTGTCAATTCTTTGCTTTCACAAACTTTTGACTGGGGCCCCAGGCATTCTGTGATTCTGCAGCTGTGGAATCCAATCCTTGCCTCAGTTTTGTGGTCCAGTTTCTAAGTATTCATTTTAAAATAGTGTTAGTCTCTACAAGTGCAATGAAAACTTTCCATACATGCACTAAGTATAAACTAATGTAGTGTTGCCCAAGTCTGTAAACAGCCCAAAGCAACAGCTCTGAGCAGTGGGGAGTCTCCCATACATCTCTGTGCTATGTTAACTCTGAAGCCTAGTAACATACAAGGATTGCTCACTACTTTTCTGCTGATGGTTTTAGCAGAAACATCCAGCTAATTTGCTTCTCCCACAACCCTAAACTTCTGCCCCATTTCCCCCCTACCTAGCTGCCAAAGCTTCCCCATGACAACTTCTACATATTCAAGTACATAGGGCATGCGGAAAAACCATCAGAGGCATAGTAAAATATTAATTTATCATTAGAATTATCACAAGGCATAGTATACCAATTGTATTATTCATCTTCTGATTTAATTCAGTGGAGACCACCCTTTTAAAAAAAACAAACTTCTGAAACTGCTGCAAGATTTCAAGCCTGCTGCACTGCAGGACCACAGGAACCAAGGGGCCCCGCAGTAAAGTCTAGGTCCCAGTTTGCTAACGAGGACCTCAGCCTTTGACTGTCTCCCCACCTAATTCTATATGAGGATTATGGAGAGCATAGGTTCGTGACAGGAGCACTACGCCCAAATGCAGTATTTCCCCCTGGCTAGGGATCTGCCTACACTAGGAGCTAGGGGTGTGATTTCCCTGCTTGCGTCCACATACGTGCACTAGCTCTTGCCAACCTAGCACGAGTATAAACACCAGCGTACCTGCAGTAGCACTGGTGGCAGCAGCGGAGGCATGGCTTAGTTGTGCCAAACACATACCCAAGAGCCAGCGCAAGTATGCGTCCGTGGGCAAGGGAATTACAGCCGAGCTTGTAGTGTTGACATAGCCTAAGACTCCAAACTGCATTATCTGCGCTTAGCAGTGCAGCCATGACAGCTGTGAGCAGAAGGAACTTCCAGGGAGCACAGAAACCTCCTTTGGACGGAAGTGTCAAGTACAGCTTGGCCATGTGAAAGTGATTTTGTAGGCAGGTATTTTGAAGTCCTGATCTGCCAACTGATGTAGCCATTTGAGTAAGATCACAGAACTTGCCCGCCCTCCCTCCCTCTCCACTGCACCCACGGCCTGTCTCCGAACAGGAATTTAATTACTCATTGCCCAGAGCATTCTCCCAAATTTCCCCATGAGGTTTTCCCCCCACATTTCCTGTAGTTAACAGGTCTCACCCAGAAAGTCAGAAAAACAAACTAGAGGTGGGTTTAGCATTCAGCAACACTTCCTTCCGAGTGTACAGGGGCCTCCACGGATTAAGCAAAATGCAAAAGAATCTCATGCCATGGTTTCCCATTAAAGATCACCCCAACAATTTTTCTGGGCTTGACAAGCCACTGGCTGTCTAAGCAAGTAGCCCTGGCATATCAGTATTCTGGACAGCCATTTGCACTCACCCTCATCACTTGAGGCCTCCTGTTTAACCACAGACAACGGCGAGCGGGTTGGTGGTTTGCCCAGTGGGTGACGGCGACTTTTCTTTATCTCCATCTTCATTTTTGAAAAAGCAGAAGTGGCCTGAAACAAAGCAGAGCATGTTACATGGGAATCCCAGAATTCAGAAGAATGGGGAAGTAACAGAGGCCAACTCAAGCTAATTCCCCAGGATGGGGCCTTTAACCCACACAAGAAAATCATCATTGCCTTTGGGTCAGATCACCAAGGACCTCCCCACAGGTAATTTTGGTAGATAAGGCCAACACATTCCCATAAGATCATGCCAGGTAAAGGTAAATGACAACATTTTCCTCTACCCAGAATAGCCTCAAAGTCAGATGGAGTTTGCTAGTTTCACTAGCCTCTGAAAGGTCTGATCAGTCATGTCACATGTTGCCTGCATTTCAGCTGGAAACCTAAATTCTTCCCTTGGGTGAAATTCTTATCTCGCTAGGGAGTTTCATCGTGCCTTTCACCACAATATCAAGGCAAATGAAGTCTGAAGGTATAGATCCTTGAAATCTACAAAGGAATTTTCTGCTCTTCTCCACTCCCTGGACAAGGTAGCTTTGCAAACACACCCACACCCCATCATCATCATCATGCTGGATGTAATCAAAGTGCTTTGTCAAAGAGTACGGTCTTGCAGTGAGCCTTTGAAGTGGTTACACTCCGGATGGCCTTGTTGTGGCCCACTCCATTGAGGAGCTAGGGAGCTGCATTCTGCACAAACTGGGACATGTGGATTTTATCCACATTCAATCCCAGATACAGTGAGTTTCAGTCACCTATTCTGGAGGTGACCAAGGCCTTGTCTACACTAGAGCAAAATGAGATTGCAATGCCTTTCAATTGGTGGAACGTGCCCTTGCATCCACACAAAAATTTGCTGTAATGGATTGTTTGCCGGGCATCAATGATAGTTACCCTAAAAAAATTTTGTAGCAAGTCTCAATCAATGCTAACTCCACTGATTGAGCACCCAAGTGGACCCATTCCACTACAGCAGGTGTCTCACTGCTGTCCCTTAGTGCATCAGCCACTGCAAAACTGGCCTCTCTGGTCATTTTTCTGCACGCCATGGTTCAAGGATCAGCTTCACAGGAAACCACCTACCCATACACGTAGCATTGCCTGGAGTTTGATTACAAGTCATTTTCAGAGCAAGCAACTTCTGGAACAGTATTTCAACTCTAACGGATTGCAATTGTTGTTGTTGTTGACATCGTCTTGTCCCACGGTAACAACAACAGGCCATGAAGTTCAAGAATGAATTCAACAACTTGCACAGGGTCGTTTGGTAAGGGCTTGAGTCAAGGTGTCCAATCCAAAACAAATTTCACTTTTCTTACATTATACTCAAAATTGTGAGCAGGTGTTAAAGCCGACATCTTGGTCCCATCTCCATTGATTTCCACTCATGCAGTGTAGTAAAGACCCTCCTGTAAAGATGATCCCATCATCATACTGGGGTGTTCCCAGAGAAATTCTCTGGCTAACAGGGCTCTGACAACCATATTCCCACTACAAAGTTGAGGAAGAGAATTCAGAAATATGATGTCTTGGTATTCTATTGCCTGGTCCCTGGAAAACCTTTACACTACCCTCTCACAGTTAGGCAATCAACATGCCCCTTCCCAGCTGGGAACATATCACAGGAATGCCATGGTCTGTATGAGCAGCTAGCCACACTGGCATCAAGCACTCAAAATGCTCAATGGCAGGAGAAAGGCAAGGATTTGAGACACGACTAGAAAACTAAGAACAACAGAAGACACTCTGATGTTGCTCATATACAGTGTTTAAAAAAAAAAAAAAAAAAGTCCCAGATCTCCAGCTAAAGACTCACCACCACAACTTTGCTGTGGACAGCAGTGGAACCCTGGCGGATGGATCAGCTAGGATGAAAATGACAGGCAGGAAAACCCAAACACAGGGAGAGGATAGATGAGATGAACCTTGTCAGCCAGGACCCCTTGGCAGTGAAGGCCATACAGAGTAATGCTGGCATTGCCAGATTACAACTCTAGCTTCTAAGCAGCTTAAAATCAAAGAACATGTTTGGGTTTCACATGGCTGCTACCATTAGCATTTGTGGAAGGGTAGATATAGCTACACAAGAACATGAACATCCACTGCTCCATCATCCCCACCTCATTATACACTCTTTTTTTCCCTACAATCCCACCTCTACCATACCAACTCCCCCTATAATCTTCCAGTTCCTGCCAGATGCACCAGGCCAGGGGGAAATGGCAGGTTAAGTGGCAGAGCTATGCCATGCAGCCATACCCAAAAGAGAGGACAAGCAGCAAAAAATAAAACCAAATTAAAAAAGGTACAAAGAGACCACAAAGTAAGCAGCATAAAAACAGAAGCATTTTATTTCTCCAGCACAAACCACACAGACTGTGGCCAAAGCATTTACATCCTATTGTATCTGCCAGCCCACTTGCCACCCAGCAGCAGCTACACAGCATGCACTGGTAATCACAGTATCGACAGCTTTCTTTGGTATAAGGCACATACATTAGAGCACAAGTTGGCCTGCTTTGAAATTTACAGCACAGGGGGTTAGCGGTTCAAAGGCAGCATCATTGTCCTTATTATGGCATTAAGAATGAAAGTGAAGGGCATTCCATGCTACACAGTAGTCAGAGGTACAGGCACCACGTGCAGCCAATCACAGCTCCAGCAACTTGTCGATTTTAGCCCTGATCTTCCTCCAGTCTGCAGCCACTATATCTGAGAAACGCTTATACAAAAGGTGTTTTAATCGGGCCACCATATTGCATGGCAAAGCATATTTCCCTCTGCCACCACGATAGCTAACAGTGCCTTGCCATCCCCTCAGCTTATCAGGGGGAACCATACGGGAAAATAAAGCTGCAGCGTATCTCTCCGGCTTGCCGCTAACTCTCTTGAATATTTCCCTTCGCTGCCTTTTGGGAATCCTCCTCAAGGTGATATCATCCAGGGGTAGGGCAGCCTGTAATAGGTTAAGGTTGTTACTGTATTTGTCATTGAAAAGTTACCCCCGCTTCCCCATCCGCCTCCCAAAACTGCTCCTGGACAGGGTTACGCAGCAGCCCAATACTGGGGGGCAACAGGCAATCTGCTCACCATCTGGGACAGCCTGTACAATTGATCGTACTTTGTAACTGGAAGCAAGGGCGAGGTAGACATCAACATTCTGTTGCATTGCAAGGCCTCTGTGAAGGGTTATTATGGTTACTGGCTGTCTCGCCATTTTACCCTTTGACAGCGGTTGACTATTGGCAGCGGTTATCAACAGACAAGCAGTCCACCAACCTGGGCGATGACACCAAACTACCACCATCCCAGCCTAAGACAGAAAGCCAAAGACCAAGGACATCATGTCTGCTGAACTGATAGAGTCGCAGAAAGTTTACCAGCTGCAAGGGGAAAATTTGTGACTCGTGGGCCTTGCTCTGTTTCTCCAGCATGATGATGATCCACACATGGACAGGTATATGAGGCAGGAATTTGTCTTCTGTAATTCCCTATCCTTCTCTCACCATTTACAGATATGGGAATTTATACAGAGGCGTACCCAGGCTTATGGAAGGGATGTGTCCTCCAGGACTTTTTGCTATAGGACTCCCTGTTCCTGCCCAATATCCTGCATTTTAAAACACTGAAAATATCCCACATTGGGAGGCTCCCTTCTTCCCACCTCATGATCCCAGCTGTATCAGAGACTTTTCACTCAAGACAAGGAGAACATTTGCGAACAGTGTTACATACAACTATGAAAAAAACTTGTCAGGTTTACCTCACGAAGCATTCTAAGTTTGGATGTTTATATGTTTGGGTCTTGGGGCATCAGATCTGCTCTAGTTAATACACTATTACATTTCAGAATATACATTAAGGCCATTTTAGAATTTGTCTATGCAGCAATGCATTGGGAAGGCAATGTATATTACTAGTATAACAGATTTCCCTTCACTTAAGGACTTCAGTAACTCAACCAGAGGTTATAGGCCTATTACAGGAATGGATGAGCGAGGTTCTGTGGCCTGTGATGTGCAGGAGGTCAGACTAGATGATCATGATGGTCCCTTCTGGCCTTAAAATCTGTGAGGCTATAAAAATAACCTACCCATCCGCCCTGGGAGCACACACATTCCCTTCCTCATTATCTTCATATAGCAAATGAATACAGAGGTCACGACATACTGACAATGAAATGTAATCCCTTGCCGTTTTCAGAATAGGTGCACAGAGCATCCCTGATCCAAGTAGCTCTCCTGTTGGTGACTCTGCTAACAGTAACTCTTGCCTCCACATCTGCATGGTCGAATGCAAGGTGTCTAGGACAGTATATTCCAGTCATCTTTAAATATCTTTCAGGTATATTGTGCAAAACACAACAAGCAGCTTATTCAGACAGTTCTGGCAAGGTGGCCTTCAGTCTATCACTGACTCCACTGATATTCTCCATTTCCTCAGGGTGTAGTTGAGTCTTCCAATCCCTTGAGGATGTGTTTTCATAAACCAAAGAAGCACATATGCAGAATAGCATTAGAGACAGCCATTTCACTAATGTCAATGCAACTGCAGGGAACAGAGGTCTAATTTTTGGTCTTTGTAGAAAATGGATGAGTTTGAGACTCATTAGAATCCTCCCAGGCCAGCCAACACAGATATGCATGAACTGACTACAGTGAAATACCGTGATCTGCATCAAAGGAGTGCTACCTCTTGTTAAAGGCTTTGCTGAGATAGCAACTGTGTTTCATCAATGCACTGGTACAGCTGACCAAATAACAGTTCAAAGCTTGCTATAACGTCCCGCACACTGATCACATGCCTCTTGCAGTACATGGTCACATGCACCTCTGTCACAACAGTGCCTACAGTGGACTTATGGACCCCAAACTGATTCCTTACTGTCTGATAGCTGATCGGAATAGCTAGCTTGCACACTGCTATCACTGAAATCCTACATCAGCCTGGAGAAATGAGCATTCTAGTGTTGTAATGTGAGGGTAAGCTCAGCAGAGAGGTCCAGGAAAGTCTTTCTTCTTCCTGAAATTCTGCAGTCACCACTGGACATCCCAGATCACAAGCACATTCTGGTCCCACTGCTTTGTGCTCATGCACATGGTCCAAAGCATCTCTCCACACCATTGGAAACTCATTCAGGAATAAATCAGAGAAATGTACTCTGAAAGTCCAAGGTGACAGGGGACTCCAGGTACCCTTCTTTTGGTCTCCAACACTCAGCATGAGGTCTTGAAAAACAATCCACTGCATCTTAGCAGCTGCCTCACGGTAGCTTTTCCTAAACTCAAGCATAAACCTTTCTTCATAGGTGAGGGACACACTTGAGAGTAGGAGTACTTGTGGCACCTTAGAGACTAACCAATTTATTTGAGCATGAGCTTTCGTGAGCTAAGTGAGCTGTAGCTCACGAAAGCTCATGCTCAAATAAATTGGTTAGTCTCTAAGGTGCCACAAGTACTCCTTTTCTTTTTGCGAATACAGACTAACACGGCTGTTCCTCTGACACTTGAGAGTGTTTGCGCTAGCCTACATGTTCCAAACACAGTTTGGAAATAATACCAGCAACAAGGTAAATACTGGAATACCCCACAGCCAATTACTGGAGTTTCCTAAAGACTCAGGGAGTTTAACCCCTCCCTCCCACAACTGTCCTTGGACCTCAGTGGCATCCCACAATACCTAGCAAACGTTACCCAATATGGCACGATGACAGACAGCAGTACTGGGAACTCAGATATATTCCTAGTGGGCATGGCACCTCAACCAGCACAGCAGCAAAACTGTAGGGGTCTAACTTGCTGCAACATGACCAACGTGGAAATACTCACATGAGCAGCTGAGCAACTGGAGATAAAACCAACTATTGAAATACCACTGACTGGTTTCTCTAGTGTAGACAAGGCCTGTGGCATTGTTCATTGTGGCAAGCTTCTCATCCAGGGGGGAAAAAAGGCAGAGTTTCCTAGCAAGCTGAAGGTGAAAGGTGGTGGCTTTTGCACCACTGGTCGCCCCTGGTCAGACAAGACCCAGTGTTGAGCCAAACAGGATCCCAGGGCTTAGCATCTCTTTGAAAAACCGGGAGGAGGGGCAGAGGACAGAGTCTCAGCAAATTCTTAAAAACATTCCCTCTTCCAACCAGCATCACAAAAGCCTTTTCCTAGATTTAGGTTCAGCGCACCACTTTCCACCACACAACAGGCCATCGCAAAAGATGAATCAAAACCTTGCTAGGGTAAAGTTCTATAGAACCAATCAATCTTCCAGAGGATCTAGGTACTTCAATTCTTGCGGCTATCCCAGGTGCAAGGGAAGTCCCCGGAAGCGTATGAGGCTCTGCACAAGATGCAAGACCCACACTGAAAAGCTTACACTCTAAAGGCACAAGTGGGGCACAGTATATTCCGTAGCTATACAAGAGAACAAGATACAATGCTGCACAACAGAACACGGTATTTTGTTCCACTGTAGAACATGGGGAATGTTCCTTAAAAGCTCAAATAGACACAGCAGAGTCAGATTTGGGGGATGAAAAGAGGGAGAACCCACATGGCCGGAAGTCCATCCTCCAAAGCAGTGGCTCTCAACCTTTCCAAACTATTGTACCCTTTCAGGAGTCTGATTTGTCCTATGTACTCCCAAGTTCCACATCACTTAAGAACTAGTTGCTTACAAAATCAGACTTAAAAATACAAAAAAGTGTGTCAGCTCACTATTACTGAAAAATTGCTGACTTTCTCATTTTTACCATATAGTTATAAAATAAATCAATTGGAATACAAAGTAGCCTGATGTACACCTCCTGGAAGACCTCTGTGTAACACTAGGGGTACACATACCCCTGGTTGAGAATCACTGCTCCAAAGCATTACAGAACTCTAGCTCAGATCCCACGATGCACACTATTGTCCCACCAGGACTTTCCCTGGAAGCAATATTTATTGGTCTCCTGATAGTCAATGATTACTTACATCAACAGCAGGGGCTACAAAGCCCTCCTTCTGGCACATACCTGTAAGTCACTGACCTCAGTGGCAACATCCGCATTTTCTGCTTCTCCGCTCTCCTCCTCCTTCACAGTGAGCTCCAAAGGGACCACCTGCTCCCGCCAAACCTGGCCCTTTTGTGTGGCAAACTGCTCAAAGGCCTGCTGGCAGGATATGCGCTCCTTTTCAAAGACCACCTTTTTGGTCCGTGGAACCACATAAAGCATGGGAATGATGGGTCGGGGCTTAAAGTCATCCTCCTCGCTTGGCACCTCTGAGGGCAGGACGATATTGAGGGGAGCAGAGGGTAAGCTCTTCTCTGCCGTGGCTGATGCTGGTGCTGCTGCAGGAATCAGTGGCCGGGCTGCTGGTGCCTCTTCTCCGGCTGGTTGCTGCTGTGGCGGCGGCGGCGGCAGCTGCTGCTGCTGCAAAGGAGGCTGAGGTGGCTGCAGGTGATGACTGTGATGGTGGTGGTGCTGATGGTGAGGGTGCTTCTTCTTTCTCTCACCTTTTACTTTTGGGGGACGGCCCCTTACCTTGCTGTCTCCTGTTAAAGAAATGGGCAAGAATCAACTTCACATGCTGAAATATCAGGACATTCTCTTATTTCACCTTCCCCCACGTACAAATGAGTTTAATGTTGGTCAAAAAGCACTGGATTAACAGGACAGGCAAAATAGAAACCCCATCGTCTTTGGAACAGGTGCAGCACGGGCATTGGCCACGCAGGATATACCATGCTGACCCTCAGCTCTGACGCCGAAGGACTGGCTCTAGAAATCAGAAGCTCACTTTGTGCCAGTGGCCTATTCAATTTTTGACCTGCCTACCGAGACTGCCACTGCGAACGTCAATTGGGTCAGAAGACACCTGTCCACCAGAAACTGGACTGAGAGCTTCAAGGTTCACATGCACATTGTATTAACATAATACCAGTCACAGGCCTAGGCAGAAATAGTGATGTCAAGGTAACTGGAATTCTGATCCTAGAACCCAACTTGACTGGGTTACAGCACTGGAATAGAAGATTAAGCGAAGGAAAGTTCTACTTAAAGTAACTCCTCACTTAAAGTCATCCTGGTTAACGTTGCTGATCAATTAGGGAACATGCTTGTTTAAAGTTGCACAATGGTCCCTTATAATATTGTTTGGCAGCCACCTGCTTTGTTCACTGCTTGCCGAAAGAGCAGCCCATTGGAACTAGCTGGTGGGGGCTTGGAACCAGGGTGGACCGGCAGCCTCCACATCAGCTCCCCGCTCCCCTAAGTTTCTTGTGCGGCAGCCGCCCAGCAGGCTGTCCCTCCCTCCACTGCCCTGTGCTGCTCCTGCCCTCTGCCTTGGAGCTGCTCCCCGAGCCTCCTGCTTGCTGTGGCTGGGGGCGGGCGCTAATGTCAGGATGTCCCCCTTCCCCCTGCTCCTGCTTACCCCTTCTCCATATAGGGCGGGGGGGGGATACGATAGGGCTCAGGACAGAGAGAGCTTGCTGTCCGCAGCTGCTGTCTCAACTTCCTGATATACTTAAAAAGGCAGTGTATTTAGAGTGGTGTCAGCATACTTAAAGGGGCAATGTGAATCTCTCTCCCACACACAGGGTGTGTGTCTCTGTCTGCCATGCTGTCTCCCCTCCCTCCATTTGTGCTGCCTTGTAGAGTATGAGGCTTCATTAACAACAAATGTGTTAACCCTTGAGGGCTCAGCCAAATGCTAGTTCATCATTTAGCAGAAAGGCATTCCCTGGGAAATATCCCACCCTCTTCCACCCTCTATCTTCACCACCTCAACCAAGCTTCACAATCATCATTGCTGTGTACTGTATTAAATTGTTTGTTTAAAACTTATACTGTGTGTGTGTATATATATACACATACATACACACAGTTTTTTGTCTGGTGAAAAAAATTTCCCTGGAACCTAACCCCCCCCACCCCCCCATTTAGATTCACTCTTATGGGGAAATTGGATTCACTTAACATCGTTTCACTTAAAGTCACATTTTTCAGGAACATAACTACAATGTTAAGCGAGGAATTACTGTACTTCCCTCACTAGCTATTTCACATGGTTTCTCATTTGCCTTACTATTCAGTGGGGCAAGTGATAGTTAGCGGAAGCCAATATACCAATGTCAGAAAATCCTTCCCACTTAAGGAAGTGTATGAATCAAGGCACTAAACATCTGAGCATCTCACTTACTTCTTGGCACCTTGAGAAAACCTAAGCTGGAAAACATGGCCATTTGGCCCCCAAATCCCACAATTAAGTCACATGTAACTAGGCTTCTATTTTAGGATTCTGGTTTGATAGGGCCATAGTCCAGAGGTGGAAGGACAGTTCTGCCTTTGACAAACTCAAATAATATGTATTTGGAGGACTTCCATATCCCATTTCATGCCCCATCTCAAAACCATCCCCAATTACTGTTCCCTCCATGTAAAAGCATTGCTGGCATGTGAGTATTACTGTATATCCATTGCAGTCAACAATCCTGGGAAATGAAGCCACCTAAATCACTTTACTGAAAGGCTTCTCGCGCCAGGTCCTTTAAACCATGAATCAAACACAGCATTGAACCAGATCTATTTCCAACACCATCGCAGTACTGGCTACTGTTCTGGGCACTTTCAATGCTTGCTTTCACCTCTCCCTCCTGATGCACCGCCATTCATTTTATCTGCATGCTGTCACATCTCTCTTACAAAGCAGTGACAGCACACAAATTCCTTGGGCAGATAGATGCCCCAATATTTTTCTAAAGAGACGGGGACCACCCATAAAATAGAGACCTTCTCTCCTCTCTCCCTACCTGCCCTCCCAATATAACCCTGTAAAATGATTGGGCCAATTTGATTTCAGAGCATTCCAGAACAGCCATGATTAAAATGCCTCCTGGGCCTTGGTGAGCATCTCTGGGTCAGGATGGAAGATGTCTTGACTGTTTCCCTTATTGCATCTGCAATGAATTATGTTTCCTATGCTCACCCCTCCCCACATTTCATGAATAAAGTTATCAGTCCACACAAAGGAAAGTAAATAATAGATGTTCCACAGACGATGCCAGCCCGCAATTTGTTTAATAAAAGATTGTTTTTCAACTACAGCTGCTAGGGCTGGATGACTCTGTGGCAAAAGGTCACTCTCCCTACTAATAGGATGGGGAGGGAAGGGGGAAAACCACAACCTAGAAGTGGGAGCAGAGAAAGAGAGAATGTTACCCTAATAATGAAGGTTACCAACCAAATCCCAAGCTCAGAATCTGCCATTAAAACGAGTAGCAAAACCCACTGGCCAGACTTAAATCACTGCAGAAAATCAGATAAGCTGCCACTGAATAATGTGATACTGTGTAAAAATGATTAAACGCAGAGTAAGATGAAGCTGTAAGAATCCTGCTGAAGTCTTTTAGGTGGACATCTAAATCTGGACATTTCCCAGGAGTGTGTGTTCTGAGGGTCTTATTTACACTAATTTATAAAAATGGCTACAAGGCCAGCCCAAATAGTTATTGTTGTATTTGTGTAAGTAGCACTTCAGATAAACTGGTTTGTAGTATCACACAGAAAGCAATACTGAATTTCCTTAGAGAGAAAAACACATTGAATGAAAGTCAAATTGGATTTCTCCTCAGTCACACAAGAACAGATCATATTTACTCTATACACTCAGAGAATTCTCTACCCCAGCAACAAAATGAAAGTCATTCACTGGCTTTGTTGACTTCTAAACAGGCTAATTTGATAGCAGCCAGTATCCAGGCCTATGTTTAAATGTTTACATGTTAAGAAGACAAAAGATGTCGTTTACAGGTATATCTGAAAGATACACCAGAATCCAGGAATAACAAAGTGAGAGTTGAAGGGGAAGTCTGTTAATCAGGAATGCTTACAGATTTAGAAGAGGTTTTTATTTTTAAATCACTACCTTTTCATTACGATGGATTAGTGTAGGGACCCTGGGTAGCTATTCATTCACTGAAGATGGATCCAAATAGGACAGCAAGTAGACATGAAAACTTTAAAAATGCAATAGTAGTTTCATTTTTGGAGGGGAAGAAGGGGAGCTGGCTGGGGCGGAGGCAGGTAGAAAATGTACCCCAAGTTCAATGGCCATTACAGATGCTCAATACTTCTGAAAAATCAGGCTACTTATGTAGGAGTCGAACTTTAGGCATCCACATTTGAGAACTTTTCCGAGTACTGACTTCATCTGCTACTAAGAAACACCTCTAAGGCCAAAAACACCACACGGGCACAGAAGACTGGAGACAGACACTAACAGCAGCGATTCAGGCCCAGCTGTAGTTGAATGCTTTTTAAGTTGTCCACAATACAATTTAAGGAACTATAAGATGGATGCTGTGGAGATAAAGGAAGAAGGAGGCACGCCTGGGGGCCCTATTTTACCCCGGGGTGTTTGATACTTCCCACCATCCAACACAGATGGAATGAGCTTAAGTGGTGTTTGTATAAAATAAGTAAGAACTACTAATTATTTTTTAAGAAAGGCTTTTAATGATTTTTGACTATAACAGCAGCAGAAAGAAAACAAAAAAAGGAAAACCAAAGCCCAGCACTGAATACGAATTAATACAAAAGGCAGATTATACTGAGCGACCAGACTTTTTTTTTTTTTTTTTTTTTACTCCAGAGACTTACCCTGCATTCGTTCGAAAATACATTACCCTTCAGCCAGCCGCTTTCTGCACTGGCCAGGTACAGACAGTTGAGAAGAGCATGTCCCTTCGGTTTAGGGGGTGTGGGTCAGGTTTTCCTTATGACCGAAAACACACACACAGTCCCGTGCCTTCGTCTTTTTTATCTGGTTTGGACGGCCGTGTTTTAGAACAGAACAACCAATCAGGGTGGGCCACATTGTTTATGTGGTTGCCCTAGTTGTATAATTGACGTGCATTTAATTTTCATGTCCAATTGTTAGTTGTCCGTATAACTTAGGCCTATTTATTTTCTGGAGCCAATTAGATCTTAAATGTGGGTAATTTGGGGTTGATAAGTACATAGAAGTCAGCACAAATTCTTATCTGGTTGTAGCGCATCATAACCACAAGCTTAAGCTTTATTTTTACAAGGCTTGCATTTTAAAGTATACGAAAGTTTGAGGCCCAACAATTGCAATACTTCTATTTCGTTCAAGCTTAACAAAACAGTTGTTCAATTTATTCACAGATGCGTCAATCTAGCAGCACAGCAATCATAGAACTGCAATAGGAATTAGAGATGGGAGAAACTTAGCAAGTCTTTCTCCACTGCATCCCTCTAGTAATGCTGTATTGTGCCATGAAGTGATTTCTAGTGTTTTGTCCAAATCATTTTAAGTGTTCCAAATGATCGGGCTTTCATCTGTCCACTTTGGAGACTATCCGACAGTGAGAGAGACTCTCTAGGAGTCATGGAGACATTGCATTGTCTCTTCCCAGTAACAGTCACTTTCATTTTCACTTTCTTAATTTCATTTCATTACCTCTTGGTGTGGACTCCATACCCTAAAACATTCCTCTCCATCCTTTATGTTTACACCCTTCAAATTATTTGTGGGGGAATCCAACTGGGTCTCAAACTTGCAAGCAAACAGAAGTTGGAAGCGATACAAGAGTAGCACACTCAACCCTAGGGGAAGGAAGCACCTTCCAGTAGCCACGTGTGGTCAAATGAAGCAGCACTGAAATTTGACTTTTAAAGAAGAGTTTTCATTCTGACATGGGTGTCTGTCCCAAAGGATGCTAGAAAGTGATCTGAAATATCTTGCTGGTCAACACTACCTTAACACATTTTGATGTGGTGTCAAGACATGATTTTGCATCACATGACAGGACTACTGTATCCCAGGAATTTTATTTATCCCTCCCCAAACAAAGCTGGAAGAAAATAGGGTGACACTCAGTGATGTCCTACCTGACAATAAAATAATTCAAGATGACATGTCTACTGTGCTCCTGACTGAATGGTAGTGTTCAGGTATTGCAGGGTTGCCTAATCCGTTATTTTATAAACATATATAAAAATGTATTATTACAGGCACCAGAGGACATGGCAACAACAAATCATTGGCATGAACTTGAATTTTTTTGCCTTTGGTCTCGGTCTCTGTCTCTGTGTGTGGAAGTAATTGCAACATGCAATAGGATTAATGTGGTTGTCTCATCTTTAAATGCAAAGTGGTGCACAATATACATATATAATCACTTCACAGTTACCTGTCTCGTTGCTTCTTTTCACCTCAAAAGACAGAGTCCTCCTGTGAAGCACAGGAGTCTACATCCCAGCCCTGCAGCACTGATAACACGTACAGCAGGGCAGACAGCACCTGCTGGTACATGTGTTACGTTCTTTCTAACTCACTCAGAGAGAGGAGCAGAGCTGTAACACTCTCTCCTTAATTTCTAGTCACAAGGAAATCTGCTAAGAAATTCTGAAAGCATTGATACTGAAATGAAAAATTACTAACATAAAGCTTAGTCATAAAAGCCAAAGAGAAAACACTGTCAAGTTTCTGGGTGAGAAGCCCTTAAAACCACAGCTATTAATATTCAAGAAGTCCAAAACAACAACATGAAACAGACTTATTTCTTGAAAGCTGCCAGTGATCTCTGAAGAATCCCACTCTTCCTCCTCCCCCTCCCAAGCTGCTTTGCTCCTCTTTTCTGGTATAAATGGAAAATCCCTTTACAACCAGACTAAAAATCAAAGCAAAATGAGGAAGTCGGGATAGGGGAGGAGATAAGGAAAATAGGGGAGGAAAATATGCAACTACTCGCTCAGGTCAGCCAGGTGCTCTCTTCTGCACGCTGTACAGACTTCAATAGTAAACAAAGGAAAATCAAATTATTTAGTTGAAATCTGTATGAAGCTTCAGTACGAGAATGCAGATCATGGCATGCAAGAAGATGGGCAAAATCAAGTGTATTTAGCTTTTTTCAAAAGCCCTAAGAAACTGCACTAAGATACTGACCCACTGCTGACAACGGTTATCAGCACAGTGGCCCCCTGAAACTGCACTGAAAACAGACTAGCTGCTTGTCAAATTTTCTGCAATGGTTTTGAAAATGCCGTTTGTCCCTTCTAAGCTAGCAGTTTTCAACACCAGAGCTAAGTGTGTGATTTAAAAATCTGCTCATCTAGAACACAGCCATTCTTCTCTCCTCTCTTCAAGTCTAAGGATCTCAGATCTGTCCCTGCCACTTGCATCTAATCTCCCACGAGACATCAGCTTTTTCAGGCCATTTATTACAGGCAGTAAGTGTTAAACTTGTACATGAGCCAAGTGTATAGTTTAATGCACTGCTGGCATTTTCAGGATGGAGTGACAAGAAGTACCTACTCACGCTGTGCTGCTCTTTCTCCATATCTAATATTCCACATCATCTTATCTTCCTTGGAGCAGAAGGGAGCATTGTCTAGCTAATAGGTCATGGGACTACCTCAGGAAGCTGGGTTCTAGTCCCAGGTCTTCCGCAGACTTCCTGTGTGACATTGTCACCAAGACATTTAAATCTCTGCTGCCTTAGTTTCCCCCAAATTTAACTGGGAATAATAAGGGGGGTATAAATTATATGAAGATGAATCCATTAATGTTTGTTAAGTGCTTTAGAGTTCCTCAAAAGTCAGGTGAACGAAAAGCTTACCAGCAGCATGAACTGCCACAATCAATACAGCACTGAGACAGACTGCTTTAGTGGTAAACAGAAAGGGCCCCTAGTGGGAAGAGCTACAGATTTCTAAGAAAAGACTTGGTTTTTCCAACGGAGAGCATCAACACATATCACGTGATCTAGAGAGAAACATATCACTCACCATCCGCAAGCCAGGACACACGCTGTGCCAAACCTTCAATATACTTTTTCCTTGACATGATGCCTCTAAAACAAGGCTTTTAAAGCACTTTACAAAAATCACTTCTCACAACAATCCTGCAAGGTTAATAAATATCACACCCACTGAATAGATGTATGAAAAGCAGCCAGAGTGACGTTAAGTGACTTGCCAGAACATTCTTAGAGATTCAGTGGCAGAGCTGGGGAAAGCAGCCCTTGTCTCGACTCCCAGTTCCCTGATCAGACTAAACAACACTTCCTCTCCTGAAGCAAAGTTTGGAACCTGTGCTGGTTCTGTGGGGATCCCAGGGACTTGTGCTAGCTCAGCCACTCTCCCCTCCACCAGATGGATTGGAGGAAAAAAGCTCAGTCAAATTTCTGCCCTCACACCTGTGGCACCTGGGGATCTCACACATCTTAAGATCAGCTTTATTTGTAGCCTCCCATGGGGTGAGGGTAGGTAGGGGGGGAAATCTAATGCCCATAAGAATGCACAAAGCATTCCTTCTCACAGGAGGGGACAAAAAGTGTATCAAGTCATTCCTTTATGCAATATTTAAAAAAAATATTACTCTTGTAATTATATTTTTACAAAACTAATAGCTTTGGCAAAACTTCCAGGCTCTGCCAAGAAAGCTATTTGGACTGCATTCTTAGAGGGAAAAATTAATTGCTACTGTAAATGACGGTGTACCTCAGAAAGTACAGACTTAATACAGGGAAAGACTCCACTGATTTTTTCAGGAGGAATAAACTCTAGATAACTTATTTACAAATGCATTCTGGAGAAACAGTTTGCTCCACTTCTGTTTAAAGACAATGTGCCTATCAGTGAGCATGACCCTTACCTTCTCCCCCCTCAGCCACTTTACTTCTCTCCTCTTCATCTAGGTCTGGCCCTCTTTTCAGCTCCTCCTTCATTTTGACTTCTTCCAGGGCAGTCTCCATAGCTATGACTTCCCCAAGAGACTTCTGATCCTCCGTTTTATGCCTTCTGGGTTGACTTCTTTTTCTGTGAGACCTGGAGAGGCAGAAATGATGTTTCACATAAAGAAACAGTCTTCAGTTCATAAATGATTACTGTCTTGCAAAGAAAGGGCTCAGTACAGAAACCAAACAACCTTCCTGGGAGAGAGAACACAGGCTGGCTAACAACGGCCTATGACAGCCGCAGGGACAGAGCAGACATCTAAAATTGAACAGGTAAGCCTGAACAATGCAAGATCTAAGACCCATTCACAGGAGCTATTAATTCGAGGAGTCCCTAAGGTTCCCCAAGAAAGTTTTCACCATTAATATAAACTGATGCTATCTAGTCACAGTAATTTTAAACTATATTTTTAATCTAAGCTCCTTTTGCCCACTTTCTGCAAACTTTCTATAGAAGTGGGGGGAGGGGGGGGAGTATCATATTTTGTTCTCTGCCTGCACTCCAACTTTTCGTCTCTTTCTAGATGTCTGTCTGCCTCCCTACAGAAATCTGAAGGTACTCCGCAAAGGAACGCAATCCAGCTATCAGACACTACCAAGTGCCACCAATTTTTAAAAAGCAAGGCATGGACTGCTTAAGGCACTAAGTCAATATAGACAGTCTATGGCTTTTTGAGAAACTTGAAACAGAAGCGGTACAATTAACAGGGCTCACAGGTGATGGGGAAGGCTAACTAAAGAAGCACATTAAATATCAAGCATCAATTTGACACTAAAGGCCTAGTGGAGACAACATCCTTACTGAGAGTGAAATGGCCGGTTGGTGAAGTCCAAGAGAGGGGAAGATAGCTGCTCAGGGTCACTATCTGCCAAGGGACATGAAACCAGGGAGTCTCTCCAGTTTAGCAAAAAGAAAAGGAGTACTTGTGGCACCTTAGAGACTAACCAATTTATTTGAGCATGAGCTTTCGTGAGCTACAGCTCACTTCATCTGATGAAGTGAGCTGTAGCTCACGAAAGCTCATGCTCAAATAAATTGGTTAGTCTCTAAGGTGCCACAAGTACTCCTTTTCTTTTTGCGAATACAGACTAACAAGGCTGTTCCTCTGAAATCTGTCTCCAGTTTAGGAGACACATTTCATTTAGTTTCTAAATAGTATCTCAAATAGATCTCTGAACCCTGGGTCTGAGCCTAATAAAACCCTTTATCAGCAGAGACTGATTCAGAGAGCTGTGACTTTCATCATCATTTTAGCATGCAGAGATTTTCGAAAGTAGCAGCTTCCATATGGTGTCCCCATTCCATGCCATTGCATCTGCCACCACATTACAGAGGAATGCAATGCCATCTATGACAACGTATCTGCCCAAGACTCTACGGGAGCTGGAATCCAGCTTCACATCCTCAGAGCCTGTCCATAAACTCAGCTGCTAATTAGATTTGGAGTAGAATGAAGTTAACAGAGCTCTTAATGAGGCAACAAATCATACAAGAAAAAAAAACAACCTGAGAAATAATGAATGATTACTACAGAAGAAAGTTGATCCACACGCACAGTAATTTATAATTGCTAGACTCTAACCATATGGTCGCCCTCTAAGTATAGAAGTTAACTTCACACTTGCAAGACATTCATTAGCTTGAACATGCAGCTGAACCCAGAAGGATCACAGCTTTTCTCTTCACTAAGATCCTGAAAACATACCACCTCCTCAGAAGAGAGAGAAATGAACAAAACTCTGTTAGAAGTTAAATCTTCTGTAGTTGGTTAAGTAGAATCAAGTTCTGGAGGCTATTTGTGGTAAAGGATGTCTTTTACCCCCATTATTCACAAGTATGGCACAAAGGTTGCAACAAGTTGTAAAGCTTTAACCTCATATTGGATGCAATAAAGGTTTCACAGTGCTCTTCTCCCTCCTGAAGCTGCAGGGATATAAGCAGGAGGGGAAAAAAAGAGCTCTCTCATCTGAAGAAATTGTATTTCTGGAGTTACATGTAGATGGGTTGACATTACTAGAAGAAAGATGACGTTACCTACTTGGACACATTTCCGATATCGGAAACGGTCAGACTGTGAATCTGGTTAAAAGGAAGCCATGGGCAGATAATCTACACAACCACATGAAATTAGGGTGATCTTTCCATGAGAACATTACTGCTTTCGAGAGCTCACACTGTGGAGCACTTAGCTGTTTATTGGGTTTGAAAATTATTTGGAAAGAATGAAAAAGCCAGAAAGGTGGCATTTGCCTCTTTTGAAAAGAGATTTATTTCAACGTGACTTGAGGAGTAGTTTAAACTGAAGAGTTTGGACAAACTCACAGAACAAGATAAACTTCACCCTGGTGAGGGTGTTCAGGAGGAATTCTTTCAATCCACGAGTTGTAAACATATGGAGAATAGGGCTACGTGAGGTCACTGGACCAACAGCTTGAAAAGTGCATCATAGCGATTTTGAAATAATCTGGGAAGCAATGAGCAGAGTGGACACAGGTAGGTGGACCTTTTACAACAGCCCAGGTAAACTGAGCGGCTTCACTGCTATGTAGTAGGCTCACACAGAGAAAGAAGGGTGTGGGGAGCAAAGAGAAAGGAGTAACACTTAGCATTCATAAAGTGCTCTACACCGATATTAACATTCACAACACCCTGGGAAGCAAGTATCATTTCCAACGTACACACAGAGGTTAAGTGACCCTGCTGAAGGTCAGTAACTCAGTCACAGTCCAGAGAAAAGAACCTAAGAGTTCTGACTACCAGACTATGCTGACTTTCCTGAAGCTTATTTGGGAGAAGGAAGAGACAAATTGTTTTAGGAAGATCGGCTCTGAGATGGAGCAATATTTAAGAGGCCGACTACCTGTAAAATTATCCTAATTGAAGTATTTTAGGACCGTCATATAAAATGGGCATTCAGAGAATTTCCCCACACAACTCAGTTTTCTCTAAAGTAACAGGCCAATTATTATACGAGGGAAAGCTGGGGGCAGGAATGACACAAAGCAACAACAGGGAATGCAAGAGTCCTGGAGGACAACACATGGCTACACTAAAACAGAGATAAGATCCAATTAATACAAGCAATCTCTTTCTTGCCTAGGTGTTAGTAATACCTGGATTTAAGATCATGGACACATTTATTAGGTCTGCACATTTTTAAAACATCAGTCACTCATCAGGCTTCCTAGTAAAGACGGTCTCAGATTCTGTTTTTTAAAATGAACCTAACTCTTCATTCTAGGGTTTTAAAAAAAGTTATAGGTCTGTTGTGATTAATATTCTGCTGGTGTTATCAATTTAAATACATTCCAGATGAAGTGGAGCCATCTCCGGAAATGTTCTACCATTGCACAATACTAGATGAGGGGACACAACTAGCCTGCACAGTGCAGAGCAAGCATTGTGGGGAAAGGAAAGGGTAAGAGAGGGAAAGCAGGAGTGTGTGCGGAAGAGAACACACACACTGGTTCTTTTGGCTTCTATCGTAATTCAATTTCCTCTTTATAAAGATTTTTCCTCTTAAAGAAAGCATGACCAAGGGAGAAACCATTCTCCTTCCAGTTCCCATTTGCTTCTCCTATTGGCAGCCCATTTATAAAACCTTCTAATCCAATTAAACTTTTTGGAATGCAGCTGCTGTTTATTGGCAACCAGCTCTGTTGACCAATTAGCTTTAGCCACAATCAATTTACCATTATGCAAATACCTTGTCAGGGCAGCATCTTCACTAGCCTAGGTTTATTCAGTATATCAGCTGCACATTCAAGAATGATAGACCAGAACTAGAATGGGACAAACAGAGCTCCCAGAAAACCTCTCCTGACAGAAGGAGATGCACACCATTAGGAAATCAAGCGAAGGTAAAACAAAGGAGGCCGCAGAGACAGTACTCGAATATCCTCCATGCCACTAGGATCAGACATGACTCAACTGCTGATTTTACAGCTACAGGTGTTCAAGATTAAGACTGGTATTACTGAAACAACAGAGACCTAGCCAACCCAGGATAACATCTTCAGATTTAATAAAAATGGGAGACTGTTTACCAAAGAGGGAAAATAAAATAGGTGTAGGGTTACTTGTGAGGACAGATTAATGGCAGTAGATGGCAATTAGTCTGCAGAAAGAAATGATGTAAACATGGGTGATGCAGCAGAGATAGTCTGGACAAAAGGACAGAGAAAGTCATTCAAGGGATTCTGAGATGTAGCTCTATGCTACAGCTACAGGGCAGAGTCAGAAAACAGAGCAGGAAAAGCTTCTTCCGATAAAGCAGCCTTAATTACAGCATTCCAATTACTCATCTATTCAAGTGACAAGCAAAGCAGGCAAAACCGAAAAAAAGTAATCATGGTCCTAGAGGGTAGTGCAGGATTGCTTTCTTGCACAGGTTGTTGAAAAACCTTCACAGTTGTAAACTATTTTAAACTGAATCCTGAATATAAATCCAGTGTGGCAAATACAGTTGACATTGACAACCATCTAAAATCCAGTATCACAATGAGCTCAGTTCAGTCAGACATGTTGGCATTAAATGACCTGACAGGGACATTCAAAATTATGAAGGGATTTGATAGAGTGAAATGAGAAACTGCTCCCACACTAGGAAAAAGGATTTAAAAACCCAGGGACACATTCAACAGTAGGAAGTTAGGAGTATGTTTGGAATCCAGGCCATGCTATTCCTCTTCTAGAGAAGCAAACATGGAGATAATACGGTCTAGCTGAGGCTAGAATTGGATTATATGAGCATAGCATAAATGCCTATCACCAGGGTTAGAGAATGGAGAAGCGGAAGAAATGGCTAATCATCAGCTAATCTCCTCCCACCAAAGGAAGTATGGGGCAGAACAAGGAGGTGTGGTTCAAACATCCCTAAAGCAGTCAGACCCATTTTCTTGCTGTACGTATTTATGCTGTGGCTCATACCCATAGTAACAGAGCCTTAGGATTCGGTTCTGTTCCATCTAGCAGTCCATTATTGAAGAGTTCAGTATTACTTTATAGTAGCGACAGGAGGAATGTTATTCCTTTTTCATAATGGGGACCTCAGGCAAACAGGGAAGGGGAAAAGGGAAATTACATACCGGTAACTTTGTTTGTTGTCCTCTTCTTCATCTCCCACCCTACAAAACAAGAGTCAAGTAGAGCAAAACATGAGAGCGCCACCTGCTAGGAAGGCAAGTCAAAAAGACTGTAAAGCTCAGGAGATTTATACAGCTGCGCTCCACTTCTTTTCCCGCAAATCATTTAAAAAGCACCCGGAAAACAGACAGAATTAGGAGACACATACATGTGTGTACAAGAGCAACGGAGTGTAAGTGATGGGAGGAAGTGAAGATGGGAGGAAGGGGGGGGGGACCACAAACAACAATTACTGGCATGTAATTTTTCCCTTGTAGCATGCCCACTCTTCTCCCATCCTACAAAACAAGATTCCATACAGCAAGCAGAAGTGATAAGTAGTGAGAACAAAATTTAGGCTTTATGTGAAAACCAAAATCAGCCTTATAAAGTAAGGAAAGATCTAACTGCTGAGGAGTGATGGTGGTCTGAGCACCATATAGTGACTCTACCTAAAACAACAGCCCTGTATACTCCCCAGCAAGTTGGACCTAAATTCTGAGGCAAGGTCTCCTAGATTTTGCAGAAAAATGAAAATTCTGAACCTACTTCATTTACATTAAGGACAGAGGGTTTTATTAAATTAAACAGGAAAATATATAGTGGAATCAGTATAGGAACCCAAGTGTTACTTATTTTGACTTCAGGGGCAGAGTGAAAGTGAAGTTTGGGATTGTGAAGTAAGCACACTAGCTGATGTTTATGCTAAAATAATCAGTAGTACATAGCTGAAAATGAAATGTAAGTGACCATATCTTTAGGTTTCAGAGATAACACTCAACTGAGATGAACAGAGCAGCTTACCCCTTGCAGAGCTATTGTTTCAGGCTGTCTGTAGACTCATGCAGACATCACTGCACTGGTTTGCATTCAGCTCACATTTGTAAGGTTATTTTTACAACCATGAGAGATAGAAACTTTTTTTTAAATGAAATCTTAGATTCTGGAGTACAGTACTCTGCCAAAGGGTGGGTTCCACACCTGCAGAATCACAGCCTTCCATAAATCAAGTCAACCATATCAGATGCATCTGCCCAAGTGGTAGCAATGGCTCTAGAAATATGTTCATGAACAGACAAAAGGAAGGCTGAATTAAGTCTTGGAATCAAGTAATGATTCTTTTAGAAGCTATTAAACTCTTGTTTTGCCAACAAAAGCAGGCAAGATTAAGGCAGCTTCTAGGCTACATATAATGTCACAATACACTTCATCCCAACTACAATACGAAGCCCCATATGCAGGAGATGCTGAGGCAAGGAACTAAATTTACATAAAAGTTCTGGAAACTAGGGATAATTTATATTTTAGGTGCCTAAAGATGCAGATACCTAGCAGATTTTTTTTTTAAAAGGCCTAAACTGATTAGGCACCTAGCTCCCCTTGAGAGTCAAAGCTAGAGAAATTTGAGAGCCTTAACTGGCCAAACGAAGCAAGGTCTTACACTCAACTTAATGGCACTTCAAATATTGGCTTTTGCCCCTGTGAAACCTTACATTGCAGAGTCCCTCTAGGAGCGCACCTCATGCTCTATTTCTGACAGCAGACTTGTACCATACTGTTTATTGTTATGAACTGAACTTTGCCATTCATAAAAAGTGTAAGCTGGGAAAAAACAACTCCTCAAAGCTCATGGGCAGAAAATGCCCTGATGAGGAAGCGATCCATGTCTTTCTGGAAAAGGAGCACTACCAGGACCTCAACGAACAACCTGGGGGACGGGGACAAAGCCAGCCAACAAGCAACCGAGTAATGCATGAGAAGGGACAGGGTTGCTGAACTGGAGGTCAGAAACAGAGACTAGATCTTTGCTAACTAGGTACACTTTCCACAAACGTAATAACCACCATTTAGGGAACAGGCGACTCTTCTGTTGCTGGTGAAACCCACAGCTAGAGCCGAAAGTTCACTTGCCTCTTTTTTGTAGACTGGGGGAAGAAAAAAAAACAGATAAAAAGGACAAAAAAAGACTTAGGGCTGGTCTTAGCTGTTGCAGACCCTCTAAATCGACTGCCGAGCGCTCTTCAGTCGACCCCAGTACTCCAGCTCTCCAAAAAGAGTAAGCGAAGTCGACCAGAGTGTCTCCTGTTAACGGAGCACAGTGAAGACACCAGGGTAAGTCGACCTAGGCTACATTGACTCCAGCTACGTTATTCACATAGCTGGAATAGCGCAACTTAGGTCGACTTACCTCGGTAGTGAAGACAAGCCCTTAAAGGTAGTTAGCAAGGAGCGAAAGGGCAGTAGGAAAGGAATCAAGGACCCCTGGGAGATCTCCAGGGTGCTGCAATAAAGGCAACCACACAAACATGGCAGCTAAAAGAGAAGCACAGTAGTAAGCAGGCCCCTTGAGAGCTCACCAACAAGCCCACAGATATGTGTGACTGAGCAGCAGAGAGTAGGAAAATACAGAGGGAAAAGTGAAAGCAAGGACTTAGGGGCAGCACAGAGATATGGAACTCAGTTGCCTGAAGCCTCCACTCAAAGAGGGCTTGGATTCCCTGAACATAGTACTTTCCCTCTGGATAAATAAAAGGGAAGCCTGAAAGTTACACCCATGTCCGAGAAAAAAAACCTTAGAATTACCCAAAGAAAATGAGAGGAGTCATGGCTCCTGAGGGCCCTTAGTCCCTGGGAGGGACAGCTAAGGACTAGTCTATACATGGAATTGTTCCTGATTAACTCCATGTGTAGACATGCCCTGAGAAATCAGGACCCAAGATCCAGTAATGGCTTGCTTGGAGGAGAGGTTTGAGTCCAGAACTGCACCCTGAGGATCTGGAGGCATCTAAGCCTTCCAGAGCTGTCCACTGGCTGCTCAGGCTGTATCAGAGGTTCAGCAACTCATTCATTTTAACCATATCCCACAGAAGAGACCAGACTGTGCCCTGAGGGGGGCAGGGTAGGGAAGGGGGAAAGACGGGGAGTCATCCAGCTGTGGACTGGGAGCCTGCAACATTCATAGGGAATGCAGTGTCAAAACAATTCTCCATAAATTCTTTAAAGGTCATTTTCCTCTCTCCAATTCCTCTATTACTTTCTTTTGATAAATACAGAAACGAAACTAGACATAAAAGTAGCAAAAGGCAGAGGACTCCATGCTTCCAGAAGGGGGGAAAGAGAGGTGGAGATAAAAAGACTGAAGAAAATATGAAGGAGCCTAGCTAGATCTACTTTGTGTTGCTGCCAGTCTTTTTTCCTCCTGCTCCCTGGTAGATGGAGCTATCATACTTACTGTATGGAATCTTGTTTTTCAGGATGGGGGCCACATAAGTTTATATTTACAAAGAAAAAGTGTTTCCAAAATATTTAAAAACCATGAAGGAGTTATGCAACCAAAAGACACGGAACAGTTCTGACTTACTTTAGATCAGTATTTACAAGGTTTAAAATCTGGGTACTAATTTTAAAACGACAATTTTATATGGTCAGTTTCATCAACTGGGAGAGTGAAATCCAGGACAATATTTCTGTGCCACCAAAAAGGTCTCAAATGGCAAAGACAGTCTCTTATTGCTAAAAATTACTCCATATGCCAGGGAAGACATTTTTGCATTGCATTAATTTAGTTTTGGTTAAAAAGTGTCAGATTGTGTTTGGAGGATTTCAAAGCAGGTGCTGCATGGACAGATACAGCATATATTTCATCACACCACCCTGTCAATGAGCTTCAACCCTTACGGAGAGGGTTGGACTCTTGGACTAAGAACAGCAGCTCAGTTCCCACGACCCGCTCAATCCTTGACCCTTCTGATGAAACTATAAGAGGACCAGTGGAGATGTGGGCACCTGTCCAAAGGGAAAAGACTAAGCAAAACTAAGAATCAGGGTTGTATTGGGGAAAGTATTTTTATATATACACCCGGCAGAATTTTTTTTTTAAATAATTTTGACAAATAATATCAATGTTCATTTTAAAGCATTTTTTCTATTTTATCAATTTAAATGTTCAGTTGTGAGAGATACTGGTGGGTTCAGGATACTATTTATGATTGCAGGCATAGAGGTTCAAAAAGTTAAAGCTTTATAACCATTAACACACAAATTGCCAACATATAATGTCAAAATATATAACGTAAATATCCTTAAATCAAACTTAAGCCACACTCTTCTTACTTTGCCTATCTGTAGATTTTGATAGTCATCAGTGGAAATATTTTTTGTTGGTTTGTGTGTGCAGGGTGAAATCGAGGGTTACCAACATTCACCAATGAAAGTCGAATCCTTCCAAGCCTATCTATATGTGCCAATGTTAATACTAATAGTTGTCTGAATTTCTCTAGTGTCCTACAACTAAGGCCCTTCACAAACATTAAGCCTCACTCTGGGATGTAAAGTAGCATTACACCATTTCACATGTGTAAAACCAAGCACAGAGGTTAAGTAACTTGCCCAAAATGTCACAGTGAGCTAGAAACAGAACCCAGGAGTCCTGACTCCTGAGCCCTGGATGTACATACTAGAATTCAATCTCTCTCAAATTTAGAGAAGCTAAAATAAGGTAATCAAATCTCATGCTTCAGAGCTTAAGTCGCCTGCAAAAGTCAGGAAGCAATTTTTCCCCATGTCTGTCTATGTTTGTATTCATACCATACCAATCACTGAGACAGGCTATATGCATGACGGCAGAGTGGACCTGGGGAATTATGGGTTTAATATGGCTTTGTCTAAGAGATGCCAGGTACAGGCTACCGCTGGAGGACAAGATACTGGACTCTGGGCTGTTAGAGGAGTGTAAACCCTTCTTCTCACTTGCCTGTAAACTCCTCCCTGGAAATATCAATTCACTGAGCCATCACACATTCCCAGCAGGACCTTTTTGACAACACTTGCCCTACACACAAGCCAGCTGCTTTAGGGCTCTTATATCACAGCGACTAATGCAGTACAAATGCCTAGATAAATGGGAACCCACAAGCCCTAGGAATTTTGAGCTCCATTTGTACTTTTCTTGTTAGAGATGGGCAATTGAAATTTTAACCCCAGCACCAGAGTCTGTACCGCCAAGATTGCACAGCAGCTCCTCAGGCACTCTTCAGGCAGGGGTTGGTAGCTACCCCTCAGACAGAGACGCCCCAAATACTCTAGCCACTACAACTATGAGCGTCTAGTGGATACCACCCCCTCCTTACCTGCGGAGCAGCTTAGCTTTCAGCTCAGGCTTTGTCTCATTCCAGGCATCCAGCTCTGGGCTGGTCAGAGCTGTGGGTTTCATGTGGTCCAGAATAGCACCATCTTTCCCTTGTTTCCACAAGTCATAACGTTCCGGTTGTAGAACCCTCACAAAAACATCCATGGAAATCTTCACCATGTCTTTGCGGCACGTGCACTGCAAGAGAATTCCAAAGACCATGATCAGTCCAGTGCTTCAGCCAGTGTGCCCAGCTCAGAGGAACTTCCCCCTTCCAACTCCTCCAGAGTTTCCCCCTCCCAAAGCAGATTAATACTGTGCATATCTACTTTATAACTCCCACAGCTGATATCAGGGGTGTATAGATGCGTGAAAGTATTTGGTGAAAACTTGGAGAATGAATTACTCCATCTGCGCTTAGAATAGATAAGGCAAAGGCGGAGACTGTGCCAGCTCCCCAGGCAGCCCTGCCAGTATCCCTCATCCTTGATCTGGTGAAACTTGAAGAGGCAATTTGAGACCTCAGCCCCCAATTAATCCTTTTCCTGTCCTCTGAGGCTGCCAACAAATTTGACAATTAGTGGGAACTCAGGTAATGGGATGCTGGTCTACTGAAACTGATTGAGGCCAACAGTCAGATGGTAAGAAACTTTGGTTTCTATAGACCCAGGCAGGTTTTGACCTGAAAGCTTGGAGATGAAAGATTCTAGATCCCCATTATCCATTCGCCTGTAAGCATGTAACTAATACAAATAACCGCCCCAGGACAACATTTCCTAATGGAAAAAGGCCTCAAAGGAACAAAAGCTGAACCTGGTGCCACACCGTACCTGTTAAATCTTACATTCCTAAATCAAGATGTCTGGTTTGGAAATGATTGTGCACAGCAAGTGGTAGAATCCAGAATCAAGGCCTGTTCACTGCTGGCACAGGAGCACAGCTCTGATGTGAGAAGTAGCATTGTCCAGCTGTCCCCATCTACCAAAAGTTAACTGACTAGTTGGCAGGAGTTTGTGGGGAGGGGGAAGGGGGCATGCACTGACCCCTCTGGATGCAGCTAGTAACCAAAATGCTTGCTTGGCAAACAGGTCATTGAAGCAGGTCATTGAAGCAGCTGTGCCCACACAAAACAGACTAGAATAAAAACACAGATGTGTACCAAGTAGAGTGGTCAACCAACAGCCTTCAAGGAAAACCTGACTGATATTAATTTTGTCTGAGTTTGATTACAGTTCAACCAAGAGAATAAATTTATCCACATGTTAAGGAAATGATTTTCAAAAGATGCTTTCAAAATGTATTTATTACTCCTAAACAGTTGCCACAATAATTATTCCCAGGAGTGGGATTGTAACAGTTAAACTGTTAGAACTGAACATCAGAGACAGAAGCTTGGCTGTGTCCACACACAGCCTCTGGTGACTAAAGACTGGAGGTCTACAGCACTGAAAAATGATCTGTGCTACTGCAGCTTCAGAAGAGATTGGTACATGTAATTGCAGGGGATACAGAGGGGGAAAGAGATGAGCAGATGGGAAGTAAGGAAGAGGCTAAACAGCAATAACCATTTTACATTTAGAGGAAGCATCTCTAGACTAGGGAAAATTTGTACCATTTTTGGGGCTACCAAAACAGCATTAAAATTGACCTATGGAACTACAAATACACATTTATTACTGTGCAAGAGACTAGATATAAATGTATTTTAGGTGGACAGATTTTCACCATGCCAAACTATATGAGTCACGTATGAGACTATCCATACCCCTTACAGAGAGCAATCTGCCCCCAGCACTGAAGCACCGGAGCATGTATGCCTCTCTGTAAATTGCTAGCAAATCAGGGGAATGCAGAGCTTCACAAAAACCAATTTATCACCTCAAGTGAGTTGTGCTTACTCCTTTTCTGGTGTTCGGAAGCAGGTGGCACCCTACTAGCTGGGCTCTCAGATAACCACAAACTCCTGTCTTGTTTTACTCTCACACTGGATTTCCACTCTGCTTTGTAGTCAGAGGATGATGTAGTTAGAGCCATTTTCCAGGACTATATTTTTAAAGCTGTTTCACACCCGCACCAACACATACCCTTTCCAAGACATCCGCTTACATTTCTATCACTTTCTCAGCAGTGATGCACAAAATTAGACAGTGTATGGCTGTGCTCCTCCCTTTTCTTCTCTCATTTGTTACTAACAGCATTAAAATATTTATAGCCCTGAATGTGAAGCAGCAGAGAAGAAATGTTCTCTGCAGAGCTCCCTGCTGCCCCAATTCCTCAAGCCAGAGGATTTCCCGCCCCCCCCCCCCATTCTTGTTTTTCATTTCATGAGGAGTGCTGGCCACCTTCTGCTCTGCAACGAAGCACTGACTTGGGGAGCAGTAATAACCTGACTGTACTGAGCGGGAGCGAATATTTATGGCCAGACAATTTCCAGCAAACTCAATTCATTTAATGAAAAACAGTGCAGGAAAGAAAGGCTTGGAATGTAATTTGGCCAAGGAGCTGCCAGAACCCAGATGGTGCCCCATGCTTCAGATTCCGGGCTGGGCAGAAGCTTTTCCCAGTGTCTCCATCAATTGTGGCTTAAGGGATTTGTATCGAGCGGCTTTTCAACTGCTTTCCCTTAAGTAATTAAAAAAGGCACCTGTGTGCTCCTATGAGGGGGAACTTGAAGTCGCACCCTGCAGAGCGGATCACCAGTTGGTCCTAGAGATTGGCCCTTTTCCCCTTTGCAAAGGGCTAATCCAGACAAAAAGCTGTATAGACAAGGAACATCCCCTTTCCTGCATCTGCCTTGGTACCAGCATGTGTTCAGCACACTAAGGTCATCTCTCTTCAGGGAATACAGGGCAAATATCCAGCCAGATGGGTCTAAGTATCCTGAATGCAGCCATGAAAGCCAAAACAGGTAACACTAACTCCCACAAGGCAGGGGCTGCAGGCCCCAAAGGCTCAACGTACAAAGACTGCCAGGAATTCATACACTGGGCTATTTCAGGTCCAATTGTTGTTCTGGGAAGTGACACTCCAGGCTGCAGTCTCCCTGGCTTAACCTCCACAATCCCCTACAATGCCACCAGTCTGCAGCAGCCAAGCTCCCCGCTTTCTACACAAATGTAACATGATGTATGTTTATATTTCAATTTTAATTTTATTTTATTGCTTTCACACTAGTGAGCATGAATAATTTACACACAGCCTCTCTCCTCTGGGGCCTCCTCCAGCCTGTGCAATGATATTTCCTCAGCCACCGCAATTGTGTCATATTCATGGTTCCACAATGGCCAAACAATTCTTCCCCCCACCCACTTCTCTCTGCCACAGCAGCGTAATCCTGCTTCAAGCAGCAAGTACTCTCAATGCAACTGCAAACAGGGGATGGGGGGGGGGGGGGTGTTGTGGAGGTGTAGAAGGCTGGCTTTACATGCATCCGCTGTTTTTCCCGGTTGAAACAGGACCAAGAATGTATGTATTCTTCAGCTTTCCTGTTTAGATAACTCATCCAGTTCTCAATATTTTGCCCCACCTCCACACCTTCTTAGCAATATTTGCAAAAATGGAGTGATGGGTAAGTATCTAAATGTGGCTACAAATGCTAGAATTTTTGAAGGTGAATCACACACACTCTCTCTCTCCCCACCTCCATTTATCCTTCTTCTGCCAATTTACAAATAGGGACAGAAAGCTCTCTGAAAGGGAGTTTAGCTGTGCCCTTAGTTTCTAATGGAAAAATTAGGAACAAATGGGGGGGGAGGGGGGGATGGAGGCAATTCAAGGAGGTTTGAAAGGTTCTCTCAAGTACTGAGAACTCTGGGGACCTATCGTGTTCCAACCATTGTATAAAACGGTAAGAGACCAGGACCAAGGAGTAACTGGTGCCCCCTGAATGACTTGTACTGCAGGAGCACTGATTCTGCTCTATAGTATAAAAATGGTAACTACATTAAGGAGCCAGGCCTCTTCTGCTTATAATCTAGCTATGAATAAAGGAGACCAACTCTTTTTGCAGGATGTTCAGAAAAGGGGGTGTAGAAGACGAGGACACATTCAGAATGGATAGGAAACAACACTTACAGTTCCTCAGTTTCAGATCTCAGGTAAGCATGAACCCAGATGAGGGATGCTGAGCAGCCTCCTCAACTCCAAGAACAGAAGAGCCACCATTTGGATCCAAGGAGCTGACATTGTATCTTAAGACATTAAACCTTCCTCACAATCAGTCCAGGCCACACATCATGCACTGAAGCCATGTGGCTGCCCTCCTCTCTCCTGCCCCTTATTTACTGTTATACACTCTGGTGACATTCCCTTCAGCTGTGCCTCGCATGTGGAGATACTGGACATCTTGATGAGCCGCGCTTCAAAAAACCCCTCTCCGTACAGCTGTTTGTGACAATTTAATCAATTCCCTGAATGTCTGTAATGGATTTCTGTGACTGTTGCAGAAAACACAGATCAACTGGCATGCACGAATCAACAACCCTGCCCATGTCTACTCTGCTTCTCCCAATTCTCCTTGCTGGAGGGTTAGGATGGGATAAATAGCACTTCCTAATAAGCTATGTCATTAGAGCTGGAACACTGACAGTTCACCAGAGATTGTAGAGAGAGCATGCAACACCTGTATGCAACATAGGTGGTAGCTCTCAATATTTATGATATATCTTCAAATTATAAAGTATAAATAGGATAGAAAATAAAATAAAAAGAGTCTGCACATAAACAAAGTGTGGTAAAATAGTCCAAAGCAGAACTAATCACATTTAAATTAAAGCTACATAGACTCCTGAGATTTAGTACCTCATTATAGAGTTCAATTTGCTTTCCTAAAATCTGTGCTTTCAAATTAAAACATGTCTAGGCCTTTTAGTTCCAATGTTACAAAATGAGCAAGTCTACACCCAAACGACAGCGTTAAGGAGAGGTATGAAATATTGTTTCCTTTATGTAAGCCCCTAAATGCTAATACCTTTAGACAAGATGGCATGCCTTGGGCCAGTTCTGGACTGGATTTTAAAAGATCTGCACAAGGAAAAAAAATCTGCTCGGAAAACGCTGCCCCAGTTCCTGTCAGTGGCACAAAAGTTTAACCATTGCTACCCTTTTGCCTGGATTTAATAGGTACAGGATTTGATTTGCTGTGTGGCTTAGCCAGCGTGCATCATATGAATCACTTTTATAAACAATAAATGTCTTTC